GTGAAATACCTTAGTTCTTTAATAATTATTTTAGATTTAATTGTTTAGTGTATTATTCTAAATCTTCATCATCCTCTTATTCATATGATTCATCATCTAATACCATGCAATTATTTGAAATTGTTTGTTAATTATTCATTTTATAAAATAATAATTTATCAAAAAAAATGAATAATTATAATTATTATTATTATTATCATTAAACATTGTATTATGCAATCTCCTCTTAGATTATATTCTGCTTCAAGAGCATTTACTTGTAGGAATACAGAGACCAAACCTTCTTTTTTCATTTCTAAAAGTATAATAATAAATAAATATCATAAAAAGAAGCCAAATAATCAAAAAAATAAAAAGAAATTGATAATCTAAATGAATAATTATTATTGGTCAAATAATCCAATAATCTATTATTTGAAGAAAATAAACAATTAAAATAATAAATATTGCATTTTGAGGTTTTAATATAATTTACTTACTTAGAAATAATTAAATAAATAAGAAAAGTTACTCATTTTGAATAAATAATCAAAGGCTGAATCTAAACATAGTGATTTTGATTTATAAATAAGAATGAAAACAGAAGAAGTATAATAAATTATTATTATTAAAGACATGTTCAATTATTGCATATCAAAAATAAATTAAAGATTATAAAGCTAGAGATTAATATTATTAATAATAAATTGAAGAATTAAAAAGAGATACAAGAAGAACAAAATTATAAGAATGTTAGGTTAAGTATTATACATATTGTTTAAGATAGAATGTAAAGTTATTAAAGAAGAATATGATAAAATGAAATTTAAATATCAAGCATTAATTCATTAAATGTATATTATTAATTATTAATTTTTAGTTAATTTAGTCAAAAAGATGAATTATTAAGAGATAATATTAAAATTAGTTAAGAATTACTCATTACTTAATAAAAACTTTAAGAATTATAATTATAAAATAAGAAAATTCAGTAAGAATTACATTAAACTGATTTTAAAAGAATACGTAGTGAAAAGTTAGTATTTGATAAAGAAAGAGAATTGAAATTAATATAGTTTGAATATAGCAATCCAAAAAAAACTATTAATGATTTAAATCGTTAATGGTAAATTAGATTAGAAAATTAAAAGTTACTTTAATAGTAATTGGAAGATGAATTAAGATTAAGAAATGAAAAGATTAATCTTTTAGAAAAAACATTAAAGGAAGATAAAGCTGCTTATTAACTTAAAGAAGCTTTTTATAAAAGAGAAATAGATAGTTTGAATATTCAAATAGGATAATTAAAAGAAACTGTTTAACATTTAGAAAAAGAATAAATGGTAGAATAAAGTTCTGATGAATAAGAATCTTAATCTGAAAAATCAGTTAGATAGACATCATAATCTTATTAAAAATAAAAAACTTAATTATTAATGAGTAGAAAAAAGATTTAAAAAGTTAATTCAACTGAAGTAGAAATTATTGGAAAAGAGATAGCTTTGAAATTCTAACTTGCTTAAATACCATTTTAAAGATTAGATTCATATATTTATTCAAAATCATCAAGAGGTATTATTAATTTAAGTGAAATAAATGATATACTTAAATAATCTCCATTTGATTTACCTGATGATTAATCTTTATTAGTTGCAAGGTTTCTTGCTGAACCTGAATAAGAAGAATGGATTTATTATGATAGTTATCAAACAAATGATGTTGTAATAGTTATTAGTATATTCCGAAATCTTGTTAAACCATTTGAATTACTTAATCCTTAGTTATATGATTCTATACATCAAGAATTAAAATAGATTTTTAAATTAAATAAGAATAAGTTAACTGACTATCTCATGTTAAATGGTGATATTTGCGATCTAACTTACTTTAAGAAAGCATTTGAATATTGTGATATTCCATTAAGTCAAGAGTATAATTATTATTAATTTTTAGATAAGAAACTTATATTGCTATTAAAATTTATGAGAAGTATAAGAGAATTGTTAATTTGAAATACTAGGAAATAATTGATTACTTCAAATGATAATAATTTAATTCAAAATATTAAACAATTTATACAAGTTTCTGATGTACTTTCTTTTCTTTTATTCTTTATTTCCTCTTATTTCATTTTATTTTGATATTTTCCTTATGTAATTTCATAATGATCCTCATCTTCAATAAAATCTTAAGAAACAGATGATAGAATTTATAAAGATTTGGTTCCTAAAAATATATATATATATTATTTATTTACTATCCATTATAGGAATTGAATCATTCTTAGATTTAATTATTTCAAAGAGTTTATCTCTAAGTTAATCTATTAGATTGGCAATTTCTTAAAATGATGATATTTATTCTTATATTTTAATAAATTTGGAATCATTTATGATATCATAGAATGATTATTATAATCTATTAAATCTTTCATTATTAAATGATTTTAATTATTAAAACTAATATTATAGATTTTCCACTTCATTATGATAAATTTAATGTAATCTAAAAATGCAAATTCCTTCAAACTCACTTTCATTATTGTTTGTTACATCATTTATTTCTTTAAGTTCTGTAAGTTAATTAAGTTTAAGAATTATTTTATTTTGTAAAGTAACAATATTCCTATTATAATTATATTATAAAAATACTCTTTGCATTCTTATTGAATCAACAAATGACTTTTCTTTAATATAGAAGATCTTGAAATAATTGATATGTCTAATGTTAACTTAAGATCCTACATTATTTTATTTATTTATTTGAGCTATAAGTTAAAATAGAAATTACCTCATGAATTTTATTGCAATAGTTTTTAATGATCTTTTCATCTACATTATTAAATTGCTGTTTTATGAGATTAATTTTTTCCTAAATTTACATTAAACAATTATATATACATCTAGTTTATCTTTTAAATTTGGATAGATTGGTTTAGATTCCTTTTTGAAAGCTTAAACATTATCTAACAAAGATTCAATATCTTATTTAAGTTTAAGAAGCATGAGTAATTTAATAATAATAAATTATCTTTTAATTTTCTTTCTTTTTTTAAGTGTGTTGATATATTCAAATGATTCTAAAGAATTCTAAAAATATCATTAAAAATAATAATAATATTGAATAAAATTTAATTATTTCATAATAAAAATATATCTTTTTCGGACACTTTCACTTTTATACTATTAGCAGATAATTAAACAATTAATTAACCAGATTTTATTTGTATAATTTATCCACGATATCCTTACCATTATCCAACTTTAAGTTAACAAATTTATCCATATAAACACATTTAATCATTCTATTTTGGTTTAATTTATTTACTAAATACCATTTTACAATTATTTACATTTTCAAGTATAATTTAATATGGAAATATATGATTAAATAAATAAAGTTTACCATTAATACAATGTTTGATTAATCCATATTTATTAGCATACTTTCCAGATATAATTGTTACATTATCATTATTTCTAAATGTTTCTCCTAATTCATTCATTTCAACTCCATTAATAGTAAGAATTTCTAATTTTTCATTTCTTATTTCTTATATTTCATTATTAATATCTAAAATAACAGCAGATTATAATTTTTATTATATAACACAACCAATTTAAAAGTCATTATTTCCAAATTTAACTAAAGAATTATCAGTTTAAAAATTCTTATATCCAAATTATAATACACTATGAGGTACTTTAAATGTACCATGTTAATTTGAAAGTACAACATAACCTTATTTAATACATATAATAACACCTACATCTCCTTTATGAGGACCATCTATTACTTTAGCTTCTTAATATAATTTAAAAGCTAATCTTATTTCTGAAGCATGAACTAGATATGTATATTCTCTATTATCTTTTTTACACATAAGTTCTATCATTTAATCATCAAAAATTTTGACTATTGTAAATTTAGGACCTTTATTAAGATCATCTTCACCTATTAATCTGACTTTTTATCCTTCTTTAAATTATACATCTACTCTTCTAAGTATTTCTCTTTTAGCTTATTAAACTAGAATCTTTCTATCAACAACATCAGGAAAAAACATTTATAATTCCTCATCAGTAATTGTAATATTATGTTCAATATTTTTAAGAGGACATTTTAATAAATTAAATCCATCAATCATAGCACATTTATATTCTTTTTCAACATCAGAATATATAAATTCAGATTCATTTTTAATTTCCATTTCACTTGTTTATTGTTTAGTTCTTTACCATGAAATAGGTTCTTTTTAACCTTATTTATTTCTTTTTATAACTTTTATTATAGCAAAGTTTTAAATTAAATTTATTCTTAATACTTTTCCTAAATCTTTTCCATAATTTTTATGATTCTTAAATCTTACCCATTAACCAACTTAAATATTATTATTTTTCTTTATTTCTAATAAACTATCACAATCTTCAGGTTAAATATACATTGGTTATCCATACATAATAGATTTCATGAATTCTTTAACATCTTTTTCAAAATAAGATTCAAAAAATATATTCCCTTTAACATTTGGAGTATAAAAAACAGATACAATTGGACTATTTTTTGGCAATAATTTTGAAATTTCAAGTATTCTTTATACTTCACAAATAGATCTACCACATTTAAATCTCCAAACTTTTGGATCATTTAATTTAGGTCCACCTTTTAATTATGTATCATCATCATCATAATCTTAATCATCTTAATCATCTTAATCATTTCTACTATTTTCACTATTATTCTAAGTCTAATCTATTGCATCTTATTCTATTAGTTCTTAAAGTCTTTTATTTAATCTCTCTTTTGCTTTTGCTCTTCTACTCTATATTTCTTTCAATTATCTTTCAGCTTCCTTTTTATTTATTTCAAATTTTGGATCATCTTCTTCTTCACTACTATAACCTTCAGAAGCTTCTTATTCTATAAACTAACATTTAGTTCTCTTTCTCATTTAAAAAATTTAATAACTAATATTCTAGTCATTTTTTTCATTAAATACATTATATAAAATTTAACTTTTATCATTACATTTAATTAAATTTCATTTATTTAATTACTTTCCCTTATTTATCAACTAATTATTTGCTAATAATTTGATCATTTTCTTCATCCATCAAAAAATCATCATTCATTTATTTATGAGTCTCTTCAATCATTCTATACTTTTTGGATTCTTTTTATTTAAACTAATTTTATATATTAATTATTACATTCTTTTTGCTTTTATCAATTAAAATTTCTTATTATTCTTTTGCATGTTCATTTATATTTTTACCAAATAATGAAATATATTTTTAATCTTTAGGATAATATTTAACATAATTTATTTTTTCTTATATCTCAGATTCTTACTATAATAATGGTTCTCTACATTCTGTTATTTCTAGCTCTTTTTAAATCTTTTCTAATTATCTCTTTAATTTTTTTAAATCCACTTATTTTATTTTCCTATATTTTCTGGCAAAATAATCAATTTTTTTCTATTACTATTTATATTCATTTTATTTCTAATTTAATTATTTTTATTTAGCCTCTAGATCTTATTATTTAGCCTATTTTACTTCTTCATTTATATGACCCTTTATTTAATTTATTAATATACTTTATCTATTAATCTTTGAAGATCTCTAATTTACTTTTTTATTTTCTTACAACTCTCTCCCTCCTTTTGATTTGTTTTTGATCTTTTAAGTTGATGAAATTTGTTTAAAGGAAGTTCATTTCTCCTTTTATAAATTTTCTTATGAGTTTCCATAAATTATTTTTATATTATAAATAATTAAAAATCAGCTTCTTTTAAAAAAATGATAATCAGGTTATGTTGAGTATTATCCTGTATAAGGTTTCATTATTATTGATGATTCATAAGGATCTGACATAAAAGAGTTATAAAATAAATTTTTTGTAGCTTCTATTTATTCTGGAATTAGTTTTGAAGAAAATCTAAAGGAAATAGTTAATTCAATACCTTAAATAATGAGATAATTTTGGAATATGATAGGATGTGAATTTATTATAAGTCTTTAAAGAAAAATCTACTCCAACCTTATCTGAATAATAATTATAAAACTAAAGTTTATAATTGGGAGTTGGCTTAGTATTCCAAAGCATTAAAATAGTTTAATTTTTTTATTATTCCTCAGATTCTTCATCTTTCTTTGAATTTTAGTCTTAACCCTCAATTTTTGGGTCTTGTGACTAAAATGAAAATAATTTAAATGGTTAATTAGCCATATATATTATTTAATAAAATAAATAATAAATGATAATCATATTTCTATAAAAAGATAATAGCAGTCATTAGTCAATCCTTAAGAATAATATTAAATTTAGATAATTTCTATTCAACTTAAGATAAATTAATTATTTAATTCATTTATATCCTAAAACTTCAAAACTAAGTCCAAAATTAGGACCAGGAAAACCCTAATCTCTACTTACTTCAATTATTTTTCTCTCATCAAGTCTAATTGTGCAATTTTCACTATATATAGTCTAAGCATTTTGCATATGTGGTCTTCCACATATTTTAATAATATCTACTTTTGTAACAAAACTCCAAGTAATAGTTTCCCCATTATTGCATCCCCCAGATAATAAGCATATATGAAGCTTAGCTTTTCGAGCTTACGGAGGTAAATCAGCTAAAGACAATTATGTTGTATCCGCTCTAATATAGAAAATAATTGGATTTTTCAGCAAGGTCCATTGATTTTGATTTTACATTATTAAGAAGTTAATAATAATATATTATTCTATAATTTATTTTAAATTAAGTCATTAATATGATAGAATTATTAAAAATATAGAGTAATTATGTTTAATTTATTTATTTTAAATATATCTTTTACAATTTACAAATCTTAAACATTTTATTAATTTATAATATTAAATCATTAAGATTTATTTTCATTAATTACATTCAAAATCATATAATCAATTTTAATATATACATTATCATTTTTAATAATAAAATTAGAATATTGAATGTTTAAAATAATATTTAAAGGAATAAGAAATCTTATTAAAAAACTAATTTTATAAATCATTGTTTTTTATCATGAAATATTGTTCCTTTTATTGCTTGAGCAGATTTTTTAATGATTGCTTTAACTTTCCCATTTGATTAATCATTTTTGAATACTACTTAATCACTTTATTTAATAATATAATTTATACATTTATCCGTTTGAATGCTTGACATCAAATTCTCCTTCTTTTTTATTATTTTTAAATATCCCTATATATCTATAATTCAAAATAATTTTTACACATCTCCAGTATTATAACATATTAATTGTCCTCTTCCATGAATCTAATCATCTTAAAAACTACCTTTATAACTAAATATTAATAAATTTTTAATTTACATATCGCCATTAGAAAAATAGTAAGTTCCTGTTCCTTATTTTTTATCATTATAAAATGATCCATCATATCTAAATAAGTATATTAATTACTTATCTCCTTTTATTGTCTATAGTACTCCCTTTCCATGCTTTTTATTTTCATAAAATTCTCCTTTATATCTAGAAGAATATATTAGATATATAATACAAATCTCCTTTATCTGTAGTAAGAATTACATTTCCTGAAACTTTGTCATCTATAAAATTGCCTTTAATTCTATAAAAAATAAATGTAATTTTACTCATATTCAAATGAACTTTTTTTTAAGCCTAATCCGTTAAGTTTTTTATTAATCATTTTACCTTAAAAAATACAACATTCCGTATTTTCATTAAATGTTGTTTTTTAACCCCATAGAAAATAATCTTACTCCCAAATACCTTCATAAATAATATCGCCATTTTTAATAATTTACATACCTTTCTAATATAAATTAATACCTTTTCCATGTTTAAATTACTTTTCATTAATTTATCCATAATATATCTCATTATTATTTTCCAATTCAGCAACTTTGACTCCTCTTATATATTAATATTCAGAAGGAACTAAGGAATAATCCAATAAGTTTTATGTATAAAATTAGGATATAATCTTTTATTTGATATTTCTATTTATAAATTTGCCAAAATCCAGGTTTTCTAGATTAGTATTAGTAGAAATAATATATTGTTAAATTTCTTTTAATTTGGTAGTGAATTACATTGATTTATTTCTTAGTAAAGTTAAATTAGAATTCAAAGCTGATTAATTATTTATCTTCTAATTATAAAATATTTCAGAAAGGATATTAAAATCATCCACACTAATTTCCATAATATATCCATCCTTTATTTTAGAAATAATCTTGTAAGCATCCAATAATTCTTTAATTTATTTCTAATTTTGGTTAAATTAAGTTTCTAATTTGTCAAATTCATCATATATTTATTATTTAATTACTTGAAATTCCTATTATTGATAGATTTAATCAAAAACATCATGAATATCTAAAAAAGTATCCCCAAACCTATTAGATATTTGTAATTCTAAATTATCAAAAGTAGAAATCATATTTTAATGATCTGAATGATCCTTATATATACATTCTTAGCAAACAAATCTTTAATGTTTACAGCTTTCTTTCATACAGATTCCAATCACTTTGTTTTAGATATAGTATTCTTTATCAATATAAGTAAAATGATCATTCAAACAAAATCTAAAACTAATTTTCATTTAAAACTCTGAAAAATAAATATTCTAATTTCATAAAAACTATATACATATAATATATATTATATTATTACTTAAAATATAAAACAATAATTTAATCAATAAGAGTGTAATCCTATTTAAAATTTAGAATAATTGTTTAATAAATTAGAATTAATGATAATTATTAGTCCTCTTATTAAAATCTATATAATAGGAAGTGAGAGATTTCATTATTAAGAATAATTAAATTAATTAGAATATTAATAATCATTATTATTGTTGTTTTTTTTTCATTTTTTAAAGTCTTTATTCTAATAACCGTCCTATTGGTTCTAATTATTAATCAAGCCTTTTTGTAGACATTTTAAAGTTGTCTATTTTTTCAATCAATTGTCTTTATTATTAAAATAGTTTATCTTTAAAATATTCATCCATTTCATCTTAATATTTAATATATTCTTAAACTCCTTTACTATTTGAACGTTATTCTTTAGCATATTATTTTAATTTGATATTATTATTCTCACTATTCTTTAATTATAATTTATTTCTATATTATTTTTGCTTGAAATAAAATTATTTTTCATTATCAGGACTATGAACTTAAGGGGTTGGATTAGTTGATTTTTCACACATTTACAACTGTCTATATTTTCTTTAAGAATGAAATGAAGTAATAGGTGTAATTTATGGACTTAGTTCTATTGTATGCATAATTTTTTAAGGTTTTCTTATGGTAACAACAGTAAGCTAAGAATCATTCATTGAAATTTTTCTATGCTTTTCGAATTGGTTTTGTGAGAAATCCATTTCATTTGGTTACTAAATCATCGAAGTATTTGGCCTATCAATCTAATTTTTTACAAATCTTTATCTTGCTTTAGTGGCTTGGGATAGTTTATATTGAAGAATATTATTAATTTGATCTTTAGTTTTTTCAATGAATAAGGATTGAAATATAGTTTGTGATTAAGGAGATAATTACATTTATTAATATAATAACAAATAAATATATTATATTAAACAATGATTGATTGCAAATCTAGTTAAAATAAAGTTTTTTTGTAATTTTTAAAGAATATTAAAGCCTTTTAAATTTATTTTCTAATTAGTTTAAAGCCCTTAAAATAATTAGAAAATAAAAAGACTTAATAAACACGTTTAATTTATTTTAGAAACAATAGTATTTCATGATTAAAGTTGATTAGAATAGTAAATAATGAGAAAAATAATAATTATTATAAGAACTTCTGTTTAAGAGTGTAGATTGTTATAGAATTTAATTAAAATCAAACATAAAATACTCATTTAGATAATGCAAATAAAGAATATTTATTAGGTTAGGATAAGTTCAAATGATAGTAAAAATCTTGATAACTTTGTTTAACAATATGATTAATATAAAAAATTTATATTTTGAATTGTTTTATTTTATGAACATATGTATTACATATTTTACTATGTAAAATCTTTTTCTATATAATATGAATATGGGAAATATGATAATTTTTTGTAAAGCAAATATTTATATAGATAAAATTTGATAAGTCTTATTTTGGTTTAATTTAAATGCGATTGTGAATTAATATTTTGATATTATTTATTTTTTTAAATTATTCTGCAAGAAGAAGAAATGTAATGAATATTAATATTTTAGGTTACCAAGAGGATAGTAAAATATTAGATTAATATTTTTATAGCGCTTTTATTAGTAATATTGGAATGATGTTGTATGTTACTTGCTGGATGGCATAATATTGTTATCAAGCTAAGTCTTACAATATTGCAGATCTAACAGGAATGGATCATTATCAAACATGGGTTATAATGAATATAGCTGGAGCAAGTTGTCTTTTATTAGGACTCTTGATTAGTTTGGCTAAAATTGCAATTGATTAAGCTGCCTTAGGGTATGGATCATTGGGAATCAGTTTAATTGGATGGATTTTAATAACAATCGGAATGGGAATAGGATCAGATACAGCTTAAGTTTGAATTTTTAAATATATTAAGTTCAAAGACACTTCTCTTGATTATAATATTCCAGTGTCAAATTGGTTTGCAATGACAGGTATTTGTTTCCAAATTGCATTTAATGGATATGAACATTCAATTTAAGAGGATGATAGCACTGGCTAAACAAGTAAATAAGTAGAAATCTGATTATTAATATATATCATCACATAAATATAATATATTATAATATAAAATAAGAATTCTTAAGATCTAGAATATATATAAAGTAATAGTATTAAAATCCTTTGTTATGATATAATAAATTTTATGTAGTAAGAGATCACTTACTATTAAATTAAAATTATTATATTTAAAGAATATAAATGACATATATAATATACAATAATTAAATTAAACAAAAAGAAAAGATATTTAAATTTCTTATAAATCATCTTAACATTAAAATACATAATTAATAGTTAGTTATATATCATCATTGTTTTTATTAATTAACTTTCCAACTTTCTTTCTTTCCATCTGGTCCTGTAGTTTCTATCTCTAATAATGAATATTTAAATATTAAATACTCTTTGGAGATTGTTTATTTAATTCATTTTCATCAACTGCCTTTATTTAATCCTTTTGAGATGATTTCATTTTAGTTTATGCAGAATCAATCCTAATATTTTAAGATTTATTTCTTTAAGGTTATTCTATAATATAATTTTAATTTATACATTTTTCTTAACTTTTATCTTTTCCCTCCTTTTATCCTATAGATTATTTTCTTTTTGTTGGTTATTTAACTTCTTCTGTTAACTTTTATTAAACCACTATTATATATTATAATGAATTACTTTATTTTTTATCTCTTTGTGCTGCTACTTTCTAAAATTCTAATTTTAATGCTCTTAATTTAGAATTCATTTCTGTTTTCTCTTCAGGCATATCTAAAAAATACATTAAACCTTGCATTGTTTTTGAACTTGTTGCATCCACTTGTTAATAATGATCTTCTCTTTTTTCTAGTGGTCCCTCTTCTGAGATAACTTAATCTTTCTTTAAAGCAAGCATATCTATAGTTTTCATGTTATTTTCATATTTTTCATTCAGAAGATCAAAATACTTTTATCCTTTAATGGCAATTCTCAATAATGCTTATTAAAATTCATGATAATTCATTCCTTTTGGTGGTGCTGCATTGAATCCATTTTTTTCATTCAATTATTATTGTTATCTTTCTCTTTCTCTTGTTATTGATCTAAATATTAGTTATGCATCTTCAGGAGTAATAATAGCAGGATAGATACTGAATTAAGAAGCAAAATTAGTAAATCCTTTAAATTATAATAATTCTTTTTCTACACCTGCATTTTCAATCTTCCAATCAGTATACTCTTGATAAGCATGATAAATTGCTTATAATTATTTATCATATTTTTTATAAACAGATTAAATATCCTAATCTTATTATAATTATTATATTTTTTAATGCATTTATTTTTCTCTCTATCTTACTTCTTATTCTTATTAAAGCATAATTTCAACATTATTTTTCCATTCTTTAATTTCTTCTTTTGCTTTCTATTCTTTCTATTTCTCTTATTACTCTTTATCTTTAAATTCTTTCTGTTTTTGTTCCAATAATTTACTTACATCTTCTTTTTATTTCTTTTAAAATTCTTCTCTTTATTTTCTTTCTTATTCTTATTTTTATTTTTATAATTCAATATTCTAAGCTTCTTTAATTTTATTTTCTTCTGCCATTTTTTCTTTATATTCTCTTAATTTTAATTTTTTTTCTTCTGCTTCTTTTTTTAATAATTCCTATTATTTTTTCTCCCTTTCTGCTTTTTCTATCATCTCTTATCTCTCTTCTTATTTTTTTAATTATTCCTATTCTTCCTTCTCTTTCTTTTTTCTCAAATATTCTTATTTTAATTTTTCTTAATGTTTTTTTCTTTTCTCTTCTGCTTCCATTTTCTTTTATTCTTCTTCCTATTATTTTAATAATTTATCTTCAATTGCTCTATTAATAACTTTCTTCTATTATGAATTATCTCTCTATTTAACCTAAACTACTTATTCTTATTATTATTGAGGATTTGGTTTTACTTTCCAAATAATCTTTACATCCGATATTGGTTCCATAACATTTGTTTTAAAAGTTTCAGAAATTAATTAATTGACTATTTCATGACAATCAAGCCAGGCATTTTCTATTCCTAATATAGCCGATTATCTATATTCGAAACGTTAATTCAATTATTTCTCTGTTACCTTCTTGAATTTATTAGGAACTGGAATATCTTAAGTCTAAAGCTAAAAATTTAATTATCTAATTAAATCTCTATCTGGATCAATATTAATATTATCAGGATCTAAAAATATGAGATGATTTTCATCTAAAATATATTAAATATTATACTTTTTGATTTTGCAATTGAACCAAAACTTTACATAAATTATTCTAAACATTAACCTGCAGGTCTTTTTTAAAATGTGTATCCTTCAATTTTCATTGAAAGTTAAGCTAGAAATCTTTCAAAATTCTATTAATCTAAACTAAATTAATCACTCTTATTCTCAGAATATTTTTAATTTATAGCTTTAACATATGCTTGTACTTCTTCCTTTGACATATTCACTTAATAATCTTTTAACATTCTCATTATATCAGATAATTAAATAATTTCATATTATTCTTAAAGTTCTCCAAAATATTATTTTTTACTAGCTTAATTAGTAGTATTAGAATATTTGGAGAATAAATATTTCATTGCTTTATGATTCTTTTTAATAGCTATACTCATAGATTCATAATCATGTGTCTCATGATCATCCAAATCAATCAACTCAACTTTCTTTTCATCTATTTTCTCAATTATTTTTCCATTGGTTCTTTTTTGAATTTCTTATTATGCTTTTTTTTATAAAGTTTCAATTCTTTTTCTTTTCTCTTCTTCCTCTTATTATTTCTTTAATAATTCTTCTTCTTTTTTTAATTTTATATTAGCAATATTTTCTAATACTTTAGGATCAACTTATTAAGGTTTTTTCTTAACTTATTATTATTATTATTATTATTATTATATTATTGGAGTAGGTGCTATAGGTTATTTTCCTCTCTCTAATTCTACAACTCTCTTTTTAAATCCTACTCCATTTTAAGCTAAAAATCTCTTTTCATCTTCTAATTCCTTTTATCTTAAATCATTGAAAGGATCTACATCATTTTATTTAATTTTTTCACTTTTAACAGTTTATGGAGTTTATTCTGCAGAATGCAAGTATTATTAATTCTATACAAATTCATTATCTATAATTAATTAAGATTATTTGAGGATTTCTTCTTATTCTTATTTTTCAGCATCCCATTATTATTTAATAACCTAAACTATTTTTTCAGGATTACCAAACATATTTAATAATGTAATTACACCTTTATCTTTAATACTAATATTTTATCTAATTATAAACAATAATAATTTACAATTCAATATAAAAATGACATAATAATGGTTTTATTTATTCATTTAATTCATCTTATTGCATATTTATTATAAACTTAATTAATTCAATTATTTAAGCTCTTTTTTAAGCTTCAAGTATTTCATGATCATTATTTTATTATTGTAATGCAGTTAGTACAGATAAATCATTTGTTTTAACCTATTATCTTTTACTCTTTAAACTACCATAATGTAATGCTAAACCAATTTTACATAGTTTAAAAGCATATTCTCTTAACAAGGGAGATTCTGCAAAACGAGCTAAAAGTACTTAAATTGGATTTAATGATAAATGAGACATTGTAACACTATTTAAATATATTTTAGCAAGCAAATCCAATAATAATATAGCTAATCTTATTTTCATCTTTGGATGTTTACTAATAAATTTAAATAACATCATATCAGTTAAGTTAACTAAAGCATCATTCAACATAACCTATTTTATCAAAGGTTCTAATAGAATATCAATAGGAATAGATGAATATTTTTGTATTAGATACATAAAATTGTTTAACATAAATTCCCTTATATCAAGTTCATTATAATTTTCAATTAAAGTAAATGTTAATTTTTTATAGAGAACAGCTGCATATGGATTTCTATCTGTAGCTAATTTATCAAGTAAACGGAATAACATATTTAATGAGAAATATTTCAAATTATTTGATGAATCTCTAGTACCCTTTTTCATTAGGAATAAGAATTAATTAGGATAGTTTTAATCTTCTTCAAATTATATTGGATATAATAACCAATTTAATGTTAAATATTTAAGACCTTGCATTTTAATAGGTAATTAATCAGAATCTGACATTTTTAATGCTGCTTATGCCCAATATTATATAATTCCTTATTAAATTAATTCTTCTTTTAGAATTTTTTATTAATGAAGAAATTCAATCAAAGAATTTAACATATCAATACATTTATCAGATAATTATTTCTTAAATTAGACAGTAAAGAAATCAACAATATTAAATCTTGCTACTTAACTATATAATTCACAAATTTAACTTAGTAAATTTGGATGTCTTTACATGCATAAAAATGTTGCTGCTAATCCTCCATTTTCTTTACAAAACCATTCATATCCTAATTAATGCATTTCCATTTCAGAAAGTTCAAAATAAGTTCTTCCCATAATCCTTAGAGTCCAAAGAGTAATTTCTTATTCTTTTGACAATAATCCTGGTTTAATGGTAGCAAAAAAATAATGAACATTAGAATCTTATTATTCTAAAAAATTGAATACTCTAGATATATTTGCATATATATCACTTAACCAATTAATCAGTGTTTCAAATTCTCCTTTGACTCCTTTCACAAGTAAATGAGCTAAATATTTATTACCATTTGACATTAAAGATGCAGCTTATTAAGGTTTTAATGTTAGATGTTTTGATAATCCTGTAATAAAAAATTCAAGTAAAGATTTAGACTCATTTAATGGTTTTTTAGTATCTAATTCATCTAAAATTAATTCATTGTTATTTCCCTAAATATCATATTTAGTTTATGGTAATTTTGATGCTGGTCTACTTGGAGGTTTTTTTGAAGTTTCAAAAGATGAATCATCTGATGATCTAACTGATCCTCTTGTTTATTATTTTCTATTGATTTGATTATCTAATTCCATCATATCTTTTAGGAGTTCATTCATCATTTCTGTATCACCATTAACAATTAAATTTTTAATATCATTGTCTAAAGGTAAGTTAATTTTTTGAAATGCATCCTATAAAATATTCCAATTGAATAATTTAACTCCAGGAGTAATTTAGTTTTTCATTTATTCACTTAAATTTGGTACATGCTTAAAATTTAATATATAATTTATACAATAGATCTTGCTTCTAGCATTTTATTTAATGTCTCTCCAAATTTAATACCATTAACAAATAATTTACTTTAGTTCTCATCTAATTCAACCTTACCAGTATTCTTAACTTATTGAGGCTTAACAATAGTAAGAGACAATAACCATTTATATACATCATGATCAAGTGAAACTTTCATTATTATATATTAATATGATTGAATAATTTCTTATTAAGTTTGTAAAAATATAAAATGTCATAGACATTCATTTAATATCACATAAACTCAAATATTCTGCACATCTTGATTGAGAAGTTATCCATTTACAATTTTCATTTTTAATACTCAAACAAGCACCTTTATTTAATCCTTTTGTTTCTTTACCACATTTACAAGTAATTGTTTCATTATTTTTAATTAATTAACATGACTTTGTTTAATCTAAATATCGAACATTATCCTAATTAACAAGTCCACAAGCATTTTAATTTATTAATTAATATGTATTATAATTGATAACTATTCCTGTTATTTATTCTATACTTTAACATTCTCCTTTGATCCATCTACAATGTTAACCATATTTAGATATTGATAGACATGATAAATAACTAAGATTATTATCACAATCATAATTATTGGGACTTTCAAATTTTGTACATGATCCCAATAACATCTATATTTTTTCAGAATTATTTATGTAAATTTCTTTAGGAGTAGTTTTCCATATACAAGAATTAGTTTATTGAGAAATACATGCTATTTTATTAATGTTATCTAAACAATTATTGGCTTCAAAATTTTCTTTATATGATATACAATTGAAATTTTGATATTGACAAAATTATCCTTTTCTAAAAATACTTAAACAAGCATTTTTAGATCCTAAATTTCCAACATTTAAACAAGTATCAGTTGAAATTGGTTAAAATAATTAACAGGCACCATTTAACCATAAACATGGTAATTCATTTTATTATTGACATTAATGTTATGATTCAAGTTCAAAACATGATTTTGGTTAGATAATTTTACATGTAAATGTATATACATCAAAAACACATGCATTTCCCTCTGAAACTTAAGCATTATAACAAACTTAACTAGATACAACAATTTTTTGATCTTAAAGTTATTAACAAGTTTATCCATTTAAATTATAATCAGTACATAATGAATTTATGGGATCCCAAGTGCATTAATAAATGAAATTCAAACATACTTCTTTATTTAATGAATTTGCACATCCTGTAATTCCAGATGTAGGACCATAACAATATTTACCAAATTTACATTATAATGAAGGTCTTGTATATGTTATACAAGCTTTATAATTTAATCCTCTATCACATTCAAATACATCTGTTATAGATACTTCTTTACAAGATTTAGCTAAGAAATCAAATTTACAAGCAGTATCTATAGTTTATTCACATGCTCTATTTGTATTAACATTACTATATGATGCACATGTATTAGTAAGTGAGACTACTTCATTACATGTAGAAGTTTAGATATTATATTGACATACTTTTGATGGATTTGTAATAGAAGTACAACCTAATTAATTAACAACATCCTCACAATTAATAGTATTAAGATCTTCAAAACTGATACCTTGACATGTTGCATTAACAATCCAACAAGGCTCAGTTTTAACATCTTTACAAGTAGATGGACTATTATTATTACAAAATATATTTCCTCCATAACAAAAACGTCTAGAATCATTAAATTAACATTAACTAGAAAATTGTTCACACATTGATTTACTCATTCCTATATTGAAACAATCTCCAGAATTATTTATATTAGTAGGTAATACTGAAACACAATTACGAGAAGATGAATTATAGACACAAGAATCACTTGCATATTAACAAAATTCAAATCTATTTACATTAGAAAGTAAAGCACATGCTTTACTATCTTTAGGTGGGATGATGTAATCATAAGATTCACATTTAAATGTAACAATATTGAATTAACAAAATTATGTTGGATTAGTAATTGAAACACATGCCAATCTATTTACTGGAGAATTACATTAAATATTGGCTAAATCATTCAGTGTTAATTCAATACAACCTTTTACATCATCCCAAATCAATTTTATTTAAAACAAAGAATTATTATATCTTAAACAAGCCAATTTATTAAATGAAAATCCAAGATTCCATGGGATTATATTTACATCTCCAATAGCACATCTTTATGTAATTTAATTATAATAGCAAACTTCATTTATTGCTCTTGTGCAAGTCATAGGATTAGTTTGAATACTAGGTAGCAAACATGCACCAGTGAATAAATTACTTGGAATATCTGTACATTCTCCTTAATCTCCAGGAGTGAATTAACAATACTATTATAAATATATATATATATACATTTCCTGATGTTTTAATATATAAGCATTTTGTTTCATTGACAAACCACTTTTTAGGAATATTTGTATCTGTACAAGGAAGTGAATTATCATAAGTGGAAGTACATTTAAAAGTAAGTGCATCAAAAATGCAAAAAGATGAAGATGTATAAGATAAACAACCAGATTTACTTAATCCAAGAGATGAACATTTTTCTATTTTCAGAATTACAACAATACAGGAATAAGTTAATGTATTGTATTTGCATGGTGTAGGAAATTAAGCACATACTTATGGACCAACAATTGCATTAGTCAAATTAGAACAAGTATCAGTTTATTAAATTGGAATACATTATCCTCCTTAAAATTTACAAAAGGCATTAATAGATATACAAGCTTTCCAATTGTATGCTTAACTACATTATGTTTGTTGTTTAACAAAATCTAAAGTCATAGCTTTGCAAGAGTTATTATCATATTAACCTAATAAATATAAATACTAATATAATTACAATATTCCATTGTCTTTTCTAAACAACCTTTTTGACTAAGAGAAATTGATCTACATAAAGCAAAATATTTAGATGGACTAGGTTTATCAATATTTACACATTAAAGTCTAACTGGATCATAAATAAAATAAGCTCCAACAATATTATTATTATAATAATTGCAAATATTAGGAGATATTTACATTTTTTCTGGTAAAAGTGCACTAGCAAGTCCTACAGTCACCTTATCCAATACATAAAAGGATGAACAAACATCTAAATGGAATTTGCAATAAGCATTGGGCATAGATAAACATGCTACTTAATTTAATGTATTTAAGCAGCATGATCCAGTGTTTTATAAATCTGAACATTATTAATTTTCAGTATTTGTTGGAATACATTAAGAGAATTCTGAATCAAATTTACAACTATCTTTTGTACTTATTAGGCAAGCCAATTTGTTGATACCTTTATGTAGACTACAATATAAATCCTTAGTACCAACAGTAGTACATTTATTAGAATTAGAATCTAAATAACAAGTTCCCAATGTTAATTATGCACATACATAAGGATTTACTTAATCATAATTTAACCAAGTATTCGGAAGATAATTAATACAACCTAATCCTAAATTAATAGTAATAGCTGCACATTTCTTATCATTATTTGACCAACCACAACTAAGCTTCTATTAGTTATTTATATTAAGACAACCATATCTATTCATTACATTGCAACCTTCAGATGCTATATTTGCTGTTACACAATTAGTATCCCATTTACATGCTTCTTTAAATGATACTAAACAATGTTATATTTAGCCTTCAAAGTCATTTATTTAACTACAACTTGCCATTATCTAAGTAACATATTCACATTATAAAGTAATTGAATTAATCCAACAAGATTTAGAAGGTATCAAACAAGCTTTTCTACTCAAAATAGAACAGTCAGTAACACTTTATATTTCATTTTCAGTCTTTATTTCACATAAATTTTTATTTTCATTCCAAATTGCTAAAATCTATAATGTTAGCTATTAACAACTTTATCTATTTAATCTATATAAATTAATATGACATTTTTTGGATTTATCATCCCAATAACAACTTTTGAGATCAAGTTCACAATTTGATTAATTTAGACTATCACAATTAGAACTTAAATCATTTACCTGATTACATTTATTAGTACTATAATCATAAACAGTAGGAGAACCATTACATTAATTACAAGCAATAACAGAAACAGTAATATCTTATAATAAAGAACATTATTCAAAAAAAGCATTTTAACAGGAATTAAGTTAATATTTACAAGGAGCTGCTATTATATTACCACATGCATATTCTGATTTGTTTGTAATTAGTAAATTAACTTCATTACATATGTAATAATAGTTTTATTTATCAGTGTTCAATGTTGGAATTGTTAATGGAGTACAAGAACCTGAAGAAAAATCACATGGAGGATCTAACAATAAACATAATAATTTGCTAACTCCAGGACTTGTACATGTAATAGATTCATAAGATGTTGGAACAACACATGCAGTATTAAAATAGCAAATATCACTGGCTTATGCACATTCACTTCCATCAGTTGTATCAGTTATCCCCAAACATTATTTAGTTGTAACATCTGGATCATTTTCACAAAAATCTTTATTTACGGGATCTTATTCACAACTTGATGTTAAATCATTTTCATTTATAACTTTCTTACAATAGGCATTCTATGTTTTACTGCTAGTACAATCACTTCCATTAATTTAAGTACAATCTGTAACTTTGAATAAATTAGAAGTATATGCATTACATCCACCTTAATTTATATTGAAGTAACAACCTTCTCCAATTTCTAAACACAGTGCCATAGAATAAATATTTGAACAAGTAATTTCTTAAGCAGTAAGAGAACATGAAGGTCCATTTTACCCATTAGAAGGTGAATATGATCCTTTAACTATTTAATGTAATTAACATCCATATGTAGTTTCATCCCAAGAACAATATTTCTCAAAATAGCATTATTAAGCATTATTTTAGATAGGTGATTTAGTACAAATCCTTTTTGTATCATCTGTAGATTTATCACTTAATGATTTACTTATAGAAGAACAAGACATTTTATTGTAATACATACCTTCTACTATTAAAGTAGAACAATTATCACTAGTTTAAATTTTAGTTTATTTACAACTTAATGAGGATTCTTCAAAATAACATTATGATGGAATATTCATGCATATTTCTATATTAATTTAAAGTAATGATTAACATACTAATTATTCTTATTTGAAATCTTAACACTTTTTTTCTGGAATTTGAGTTGGATCAAATATACATTTATATTCTCTAGTGTTTAATAAACAAGCTTATTTATTCATTGCAAATTATGTACATTTATTATTAAATGTAGTTAATTTCTAACATTAAGTTGTTATAATATTATTAGTAATAGTGGATGAAAAATAATAAGCATCTCCAACTAAGTTTGTACATGCTTATGCATTATATAATGTTTCACTTTTAACAAATTTCAGTTATTCTACTTATGAACATTTCATATCAGTTATTGACCATTCACAATTATCATTTAATATTGATAAACATAATTATTTATTAACATTCTAAGTACATTTTAATGTATTGATAGCATTAACATCTCCTTCTTCATAACAATTTAAATTTATAGAATCCCATCTGCAATTTGCAGTAGTAACTGAATAACATCCAATTGAATTAATACCAGGTAAATCACAACTCTATTATTAAGCTTTAGTTATAGATTCGCATTTCTTTAAAATTGAATTATATGAACATATTTATCCACCTTTAGTGATATTTTAACAAGCTTTTTCATTCACTACTCCATCATAGACTTAACCTGCATTAAAATCTGAACAATTAATATCCTAAGGACTAGTGATACATTTATCAGTAGATTTAAGGAAAGCACATGGAGCATAAGGATTGGCAATACAAGCTTTTTCATTTTGATTTTCATTGCATGTATATAATGATAAATAATCATCAATAGTGACACATTATAAATTAATTTTATCCCATTTACAATAAAGATTAGATGAAAAACCTAAACAAACATTAGAGTTAATTCCTTCTGTTTCACAAATTGTCAATTCTATGGGATAATCAACACAAAGATTATTTGAATTATATCTATAATATTTCATAATATAATTTTTATCTCCTTCAATTCCTTAACATCCATATCTATTCATTCCATAACGTCTATCTATTAAAACAAAATTAGGATAGTCACTAAAATTAATTTAGGTACAAACAAGTCCATCCCAATAACATTATTAAGTAGGAGACCAATCAATCATCCAACATGAATTTTTATTCATTGATGAACATTTATATTATTTGAAATTATAATAGTCTTTTACAGCTTAAAAAGAATTTATATCAACAATTTAATCTGTTAATTCTACACACTTATTAAATTCATTAAAATAACAATAAAAGCCTGTTGTAAATCTACTACAAACATGAGCATTTATTCCTACTAACTCTGTACAACATTTAGTAATACAGGGTGTTTACAAAAACTTTATGCAATTTCCTTTACCATCATATTAACAATAACCTCTTAAAGGATCTTCTATCTTTGTTGTTACTATTGGATCTTTATTAGGCTAAATAATAATTATAATTAAAATTACAAAATTCATTAGAATACTTGCACAAACATTTGCATTTACAGATATCCTTATACCAGGAATAGTTTTTTATTTCTCTCCTGTATTATAATCTAAACATTTCTCATTAAATTAAACATACTAATATTCACATCCACTTGTTCTATAATTCCAAGTACATTACTCACCTAAAGTCTCTATAGAAATACAAATATTCTATGTTGGAGAACTTGCTAAACATTTTGCAGTTGTTAATAATAATTTTGATGCAGCTAAAACACTTTCATCTGATGATTTCTTATCAGGAGCTAATATACAGACATTATTAATTTTATCAAAATAACATCCTTCAACATTTCTTGTAATTTAAGAACAAGCAAAAGAATTCAAACCTAAAGTATTACAATAATCTCCAGTCTCACTTGAATTAATACTATTAACACATCCATAACCATCAATACTATATTTACAAACCTCTTTATTAAAAGTAACAAGACCACAAGTTCCAGGATTTACAAATTTAAGTTCAATACATGAAATTTATGCTATTTATTCTTTACTTCTAATACTAGTACATTATCCTCTAAACCATCTACATCTTTATCCAATTTTTGTAATCATTGTGCATCCATATTTATTTAATCCTTATTATAAACATTCCATATTTGCTAAATTATTCTAGTTTATAACATCACATTATTAAGTATTACTATTAAAATAACATCCTACAGCCTTATTATTATTAGTAAATTCAGAAATCTAAGAGCATGCTTGTGGATTTGAATATTTTAAATCAGTGCATTTTGTTACTTAATCTATTATATTTACTACTTCACATTTGCTCAATTCTTCCTTCCAAATACATGCCATAGCTTAAGAAATTTAAACACAAGCTGATAAATTAAGATAAGGAGTAGTACAGGTCTCTTATCCAGTACTTCTTTCACAAAGTTTAGTATTTTAATTATATTTACATCCTATATTCTATTTTGATATTGCTTAACACACATTTCCATTTACTTAATAAAATTTTCCATTCTCTTCTGGCAATGGACAATCTAAATCTTAATTCAAAGGAATTCTTAAACATTTTTATCCATTCCATTAACAATATTAAAATGGAGTTGTAATATTAATACAAGCATCTTCATTAATAGAATCAGAACAACTTATTTTATTTAATTGATCATCTCTTAATTCCTAACATCCTTCTTCTCTAATATAAATACCTAAATAATTAATTATTAATATAATTACATTTTTAATTCTTTATACTTAAACAACCAATTTAATTAAGACCTTTTGTATTACAATTCTATTTTATATTTGATATTGGAGATAAACATTAATGATTTATTTCATCATAAAAACAATATATAGGCATAGCTCTGCATACACTAGAATTTACATTTTTTAACATTTCACAATTCTCTTCGCTTTAAATAAGATAATTTTAACAACCCTTATTATTCCAAACACAAAGTAATGATGGATTTGAAATACTAAAACATGCTTCTTTATTTACATAACTTAAACAACTTATTTCATCTTATTCTTAGAAATTTCTACATATGTTATTTATAAAAATGCCTAATATATTTTTGTTTTTCAATACATTTTTATCCTGTTGTTTTTATATTTATACATGCTTCTTTACTTAATCCTAATGTATTACATGTCAGTTATTGAAGTTGTTAATCTGATACTGATTAACAAAAATACCCATTTTAGAAACCGTTATTATAACCTATCGCTTATTCTTCATATTTACATTATAAATCTTGAATCTAAGCACATAGACGTGGTGATACAGGAGAGTTAAAGATAGTTTCGCAATTCTATCCCTTTTATATTTCACTCTAGTATGAAACACAGGTGTTATTTGTCCAAATACAATTTTTTCTATATAAATTAACACAAGCAAATATTGAAAAGTTTGAATCACAATCTAAATTCCTCAGATGAAATTAATTTGCATGAATACACCTTGTTCTAAAAAAACCTAATTTAATCATTAAACATACATTTCACTTCCTAACCATCTATATTTCTTTATTATTACAAACAAGCTTATTAATTCAAATTAGGAATACATCCTAAATCTGTACTCTTTATTTCCACACAAGCATTTTCAAAATAATTGAATTAACCTATATTTGATATCAGAATTACATGAAATCCCTTTTGTCTTTTGGACACAAGCTACTTGATCCAAAGGGTAATAATTGCAAAACATTCCAAATATATTAGTGATAATGATGCCATATATCAAAAACTAATATTTCATATGATTAATAATTTTAATTTGATGTTCATTAATGTGTTATATAGATAAATTCCAGTGATTAAGTAAGAAATTAAAGTTAAATGGTAATACATTAAATATATTTGCTGGAAATTAGCAATTTGAATTGAATATTTTGAATGGAAATTATAAACTTTTAAGGAAAGAAAAATGGAATTATCAAGAATATTCTTACTAAGTAATTATTTAAATTTAAAGTATTTATTAATAATAAATTTAATCTTTTCTTTATATTGAAAAATGATATTAAAAAGAACTTAGTTGCTTCAAATAAAGAATCAATATGAATCTTTTATCGATTTTTAAAGATTAAATATAATATTTAAATATTTGATTATCATTTTAAACATAATTAAATTATTGAATAATTTAAACTGATAAATTAAAATAACAACTAATACACAAAAAATAAAAACTCAAATTATATACACAAAATCAATGAATGAGAATTTACATCTCTATTGCTTCTTATTATTAATCAATATGACTGGTTTTTTAATATATGAATCCTATTACAAATAATGCTCCACTCATTATTACACTAGTTTTATCAAAACCAACTTGATCAATAAATATTCCTCCAATAATAGGTCCAATTAAATCTCCTAATGACCAACCTGCAATAAAAAGAGTTGAACCTATTTCAGCTGCTTAATCCTTATGTTTATTCTTCTCCATAATTTATACAATCAATGGCATCATAATAGCAGGTCTAAAAATTTATATAATTAATTACGCTGATCCAATTCCTATTCCTCTGATAATATCAGCAAAACATATTATATAAATAGATTGTGGTAATCCTATCTAAGATGGACCATACAATAAAAGACTAATTGCCCCAATATAAAGACAATAGGTGTATAATTAATTAAGAGTATAATGTTTTTATTCAGCAACATAATATGCTCCAAAAAAACTTACAATAGTATATATCATAAATAGGAATTAAGAATTTGCATCGTCTAAATTGTATACTTCTAATAATTACACAGACTAAAATTAATTAATGTATATTACCAAATAAGTACGTAATGCCTATGCTGCAACTCCTAAAAAGAAATATGAAGTAAAGGTAATATTCAATTCATGAATCTAAAATACTTCATAATAATTGATTTATGATTCTTCTTGTTCATGATTGATATTGAATATCCTTTCATCCAAAAACAATATTACACTAATAGTAATTAAAAAGTATAAAAATGCCACCAAATACAAGGAATATTAAAAAGTGTTAAAGTTATAGATATCTGCTAAAATGTACAATACACCACTTATTAAAGGACCACAAACTAAACCAAAATTACATGCCATTTCTAATTTGGCAATTTTCTCTGAAACTTGTTCTGAAAATAAATGTCCAGTTATCGAATATGAAGGAACCTAAATCATGGTGTTCGACTAAATATTTAATATATAATTATACAATTCCTTAAATGAATCTTAAAAATGAGGAGAGGATAAAAAAAAGAGCTCCATTCAAAAAATATGATATCCCTAAAATAATGGATATTATCAATTATCCCATCAAACCTTATAATATCATTTTTTTAGAGCTATGTATTTTACCCAACTTCCAAGAGGCCAATATACATCCAAGTGGGTAAAAACACATAATGATTCCTATACCTGCTTCAGTGAATCCCTTTTCTTTTATTAAAGGTGGAAAAAGGGGAATCATCATCATGTAGCTTGCATTAGCCATCAATATCAATATCACTATGATGATGAATGATCTATCTCTATTTTGTTAGAGAGAACTTATTTATACGTCAATCATTTTGCTTTATTTAAAAAATAATATGTCTTGATTTTTAATAATACGCCTTAAAGTGCGTAAAATTGCACTGATAATTTTTATTATATTAATGTAATTAATAAAAAATTCTAAAAACAATAGCATAAAATTAATGTTTTTTATTGTTGAATTTAAATATCATTTTTGAATAAAGTAAAGAAATTGTTTGCTTATATTTCACTCTTTAAACTATCTAATAATTAGAGTAATGTATTTAAAATCGATTAAACCAACAGCTATAAAAATAAAATGAAAAAAACTTAATATTTGGCTAATTTGTTTATTGATATGTATATTCTTTCAATATAAATTGGCTATATTTAATAAGGTTACTATTTTTTATCAATACTTACTCATTATTGTATTTTAGTGTGTTATATTATCAATATCTATTATCTATAAATTATTTAATTCATTTGGAGGTGATCAAATTTAATTTTAGATGATTAAGCTAAAAGAATACTACTTATTAAGTTCTAATGAGTATATTATTAATTAATTGCTATCAAATTATTTTTGATATCTTTTTATCAATAGAATCTATAAATATTGTAATTAAATTAAAATGTCGAAGTTTTCATAATTTTTAGAGGACATCAGTGAATTCAAAGAAAGGCCAGTTAAATTAAAACAAATCAAAAAGGTTCTAAAGATTAATGAAAAGAGCTTCCCTCCTTGCAAAAATATCTTGAATTATTATTTCTAAGAATTTTCAAAGTAGATTATAATACTAAAAGTAGACGTACCAATGAAGAACATCGAACAAAATGGCATAGAAAGGATAAAATTTTATTTGTATGGACTGTGTTAAAATACTTTGAATTCATAAATAAGAATGATTTAAATCCTGTAATATCAATTTAATATGATAGTCTGAAGAAGATTGGCATTATCTATCAAATGTCTTAGGAGTAACAGAATAGCTATTGAATTTAAAGTGGATTAGTATGCTAAAAACTAATCTCAAAATGGCCCCTTGGAACAATGAGGAAGATGAAATATTATAAAGCATTATTGCAGATCCAAGTGAAAACAAAAATTGGACATAAATTACAATAGATTTCAATAGAATAAATCCTGCAAAAATAGTTAGACATGCTAAATAAATTAGAGAAAGGTGGAATAACTATTTGAATCCTGAGTTGAAAAAGTAAGGTTAAACATTTAATTAGATCTGAATGGTCATAACCAGAATAATTACAATTATTGTTATTAGTTTAGGATATAGGAAAGAGATGGTCCCTTATTTCCAAAAAAATATCTGGAAGAACAGAAAATTAGGTTAAAAATCAATACAATTCAATGATGAATACCTATAGAAGACAAAATGTAAGAAAAACTTTAGATATTTAGCAGTTAGATAATGAAGATGTAGCAATTAAGAAGTTATTAGCAAATTTATAAGGAAAAGATTATGAAGGTCCATAACCTTTGTCTAGTAAACGTATTAGAAAAGCAGTTAATAACAATAATAATAGTAATAATAATATCAATAATAATAATAATAATATCAATAATAATACTAATAATAATATCAATAATAATAATAATAATAATAATAATAATAATAATAATAATAATAATAATAATAATAATAATTTTGCAATACATTAGTAGTATGCTTAATAGGATTAAAAGATTATATAAATTGAAAGTAATGAAATAAAAGAAGAGCATTAATAAGATTAATAATTATAATAACAATAAATACAATTATAGTAATAATAATAATTATTATAAAATTAATAATAATAGATGCAATAATAACAATAATAATAGTCACTCATGCTTGGTTTACCTGTATTTTCTCCTATGTTGCCTTTCTCTCCTTTACATTATTTAATCTGTATTTAGTTTATTCCTATATAAAGAGTCCAGTCCAAATAATTTATCCTCCCCTTATGAAATAAGAAATAAGAATTATTCAAGTTAATTATAGTTATTTGATGATTTAATGAAATCAACAAACAATCTAGACTAAGGTGCACCTTAATCAGAAGTTCCTTGTTTGTTAAGGTTATTCAATTCGCCTGCATTTAATCATTAAGGATTTCCTTATGCAACGATGCCTTACTAATAACCTACCTAACAGTAACCTACATATAATACAAAAAAAATAAATAAAATTTAAAAAGAATTGTTAAAATTTGATACACAATTAAACAGAGATTGATCTTTTTTAATTTAATTTAATAATATAGTATATTTAATTTATCTTAAAAAAAGACATTAGATTTAATAATACAAATGGCCATATATATATAAATATACTATATCTATTTTTTAGCTAAATTATTAAAATATTTTTTATTCATTAGTTTTAACTTACAAATCTGTCGAATTCACAAAAAAAGAAGTTTCGATTCATATTTAGTTATAATTTTATATATGAACATATATTCTTTGTGTATAGTTATATTGGAAGAGAATAGCAAAATGGTTGCAATTAGAAATTATATTTAATGTCTTTAAACATACTATTGAATACTACTAATTTGTTAAATAAAAACGATAATTGGTTTCCTATACTTTAAACTAATAGAGAAATATTTAAGATGTGTTGGGGGATTGGTATTTTAAATTAAATTATTTAATATATTCATACATAGATATGTGATATTAATATATGTAAAATAATAATACAATCTAATAGAATTTTCAAATTTATATAAATTAGATTTTTAATTAAATTGTGAGAAATTTAAGTTTAAATGAATTAATCAAAAAACAAAAATAAAAATTATGCTCACCCAGAACTATCAGCATCGCTGCTAAATGAACTGTCTCCAGTATCAGGTTGTTTTTGTTGAGGAACTGGTTGTGGAGCATAATTATAAGTAGTATTAGCTGTATGAACCTTAATGATATAAAAAAAGTTTTACAATTCTATCAGTCTTATCTTATGTTTTATTTTCTTCTGCAACTTTCTTACTTTGTTATTTTTTTAAATATTCCAATTTAGTGTTTACATATTTTTCTAATTACCTAGTTTTTTTTACAGGCAATGTATCTATATCGAATTCCAATTCATCACTTTATTCTTAGATCTTTAAACCATCAGATACAATTTCCCAAACACCTCTCAAATGTTCAGGTGGTAAACTATTAATGTTTGAGACTAATGCCCTCTTTTCTTACATATTCATTGGTTATTCCATCAAACTTGGTTATTTTCTATAAAATAATTAAAATATTATTAATACACTGGCTTTTTATTATTGGTTGATGTTTATTATACTGCAGGAGGTTTCTTTTATTATTTATCAACTTTAACTGGTTATTCAATTGTTTATTTTTATGGATAAGGTTTATCTAATTCTTTATACAATTCATTAAAATGTTATTCAAGTTCTTAAGTCATTGCATATAATTAAGAACCCTTGTTGTTCATTGTATAGGACATTTACCATATCTTCTTAATGTCCACCCAAAATTGAGTAGCTGTTTGATAAACATCTTATCATTGTAAAAAGATATAGTTACTATTTTTAAGATTCTGTTCGACTATTTATAAGTCAACATATTCTAATTCTTAAGGATAATTGACATTATCCAATTTTCTTAAAAAAGGTGCTGCCAATTAATGTTTTTTCAATTTTTAGAGCAAATTTAAGCATCTCTTCATCTCATCTGTATTATCAGTTCGATAAGGTGCTACATAAGTCTTTTTTATGATTTTATTATCTTCCTCTGATGAAATATCCTATTAGACTTTCTAAAATTTTATAATTTTATTATAAAACTTTGACATCTCTTTTTGATTATCTGCTTAAATTAACACTAAACCCAGGGGGTAATTTCTTAGCAATCACTCTAGCTTAATCAGAGGTGAGAAGGACTTAAAAAACATCATCTATTTGCTAGTAATCAAAAATTAAAAATAAATCGTACACAAAAGGTAGTCATAGCAATTGTAATGGTTTCTGAAGGAAGAGAGGTTCTTTTTAAACAAATTATTTTAATTATTATTTTTTTGTTTATTCCAATTTAAAACCCTTAAAAAAATATGACCGGGGTATGAAAAATCATTAAAATAAAAAATTTAAATATTTTCTAGAGCAAACAATATATCGTAAGAGAAGAAAGCAAAAAAAGCACTCTTAAACAAAATATTTATTATTAATAGATTAGATTACTTTGAGATTTTTTTAATATACTTCTTATTGATTTGATCAACTAAAATCACAATTTTATAATTGATAGATCAATCAGAGATTCTTTCTAATTTTCTATTATACTTTCATAATACTCTAATATTCTTTCAGTATTCAAGACTTTCATAATTTGTTCCAATAAGAGATGTTAACAAAGTGTTATTTCATTTTATTATTAATATAATAATAATTAAATTATGAGAAACTTTAGATCATACTAAGTTAGAATTCATATTAATATCAAATATAACAAAAAAAACAAAATTGAATTTATTGTTTCAAAGCATCTTCCAATTATTTTTACCTGGTAAAGTAGTATTTGTATTTGAATACGAAAAGGAACTTGAACTCACTTAGTCCTTGTTTAAACCTAAAATTAATTAAAAATACTTACCAGGTGATGAATTTCTAATCTTTTGTCTCAAGTTCTAGGGATTGCAAACATTACTATTTTTATATTTTTCATCATCTTAATTAAATTCATACTAAATAATAAATACTTTTAATTGCTGGTGACAATGTTTTTGTATTTCCAGTTTATGCTTTTTACATTAAAGTGTGACCTGCAGATTAAATACTCTCTTTTCCTTTACTAATAAGCTTAAATCAATAACAAATACATCTATTTAATGCTCTAAGTTTTTTCTGTCAATTCTTATAGAACCTTTATTGGTTGATGTTTTAAAAATTATGCCTAACTTTTTGTCAGACATTATGGTGATATTAATTTTTTGAGATGATTAACATCAGAAACCAATCCCTAAACTGCTTTTTATTGTATCTTTGAATCTGTGTCTATATTTGAATTACTATTGTTGTTAAAACTACTATTATTCTATACTTAATTAGCACTTTGATTTAAATATTTGTCTTAAAAGGAATTATTTGGCTTTTATTAATTCCTTAATGTGGATGCAGCTTATCTTCTACATTAAACATTTCTAAGATATATCTAAGAGTTTGATTAAGGCAAAGGAGGTCCAAATTAATGCATTTTCTTAATTGGATCTTTTTGAAATGGAGATAAACTCTCTTTCTTTTAAGTGCTATTGCTTTTATATTAATCCTTAATTTCGGCACTATTTGGTCTATTTTTACTATCTAATTCTTCTCCTTTTTTTATATGAGTAATGCTTCTATCTTAAATCTTAGATGTATTGGTTATATTAGTAGTACTTAGTTCTGCTTGATTTTTATTGTTATTTTATTATTAAATTTGAGATGTGGATTAGGAAGATTTCATCATTTAATTTTTCATTTATAATTATTAAAATTTTTAGTAACTTGATTATAATTATGATATTGATTATGTTAAAGTTTTTTAAATTTCAAAATGTTTTGCTGAACTCATAGAAGAAATAAATGTTGGGCTAATTAATTAATCTAATTTAGTTTTTTATTAAGATGCTAAAAATGATTAGTTTCCTTAAGGTATTTATAATTTTGAATCATTTTATTAAGTAAGATTTTAGATATTATTTTATATAGGTTATTATTATAATTATTATTATTGCTATTAAGATAATAATTATTATTATTATTACAATTATTATTATTATTATTACTATTATTATTACTATTATTATTATTATTATTATTATTATTATTATTATAACTATTACTATTATTATTGTTATTAAGACTATTATTATTAGATAACATTCATTAAATTTTTATCTTTATTAAAAATAGCTTCAGATTGTTAATTAAAATAATGTAATGATTATTAAACTTAATTTTTAAATTCTTAAAAGTTAGTTAAAATTGATGGAGAAGTATCCTTTTATTTGACAGAACTTGGACGATTGTTGGTGACATCAATTTAATTCTTCTTTTCATCATTTTATTATAAGGATGTACTTCTTACTCCACTTGTTTAATTAAGGAATTAAGGACTATTTATTTACTCTTATGATATTAGTGGAGTCTTTTTTTCAAATTGTTAATTTTATTTTTATTTTTATGCACAATGCATTAATAAATTTTAAAAGGATTAATTATTACTCATTTAAGCATTTTATTTAAATGAATCACAATCCTCTTATTAAAGCTGTTTAATAGTTTACTTATGTTAATTAGAACATTTTTAGAAATTATGTTAAATTTATTACTATTTTGCAGGTTATTTTAATGAAGTTTTTTATACTCCCTAATGATTATTATTAACTTACTCTTAAAATAGATTGACAATCAGAATCTTCTTTCAGAATAATTTCAGAAGTAGGTACAAAATCTGGAGATCCACAATAGACTAAAGTGGCTAATTAAATGTTTTCTTTGTTTATTTAATCTTTCCATTTTATTTTCTGATTATAAACTTTTCCTAATACATGCTATAATGTGATTCAAACTTTTACTAATTTGGATTGTAAATTGGTATATATGTCATCAACTGGTCCATTTTGTGAATTAAGGAATGTATTTCTTATAATTAATTCTTCTTAGAGTTATTGTGGATTCTTTTCATCCTAAGTTAATTCATTCCAAGAAGCAGTTCTCTTAGGTCCTGACTTATTCATTTTAGATTCTAATGCATTTAGTTAATAAAAGAAGGAAGCTCTTATTTCAAGATCTGGTCTTCGAGAATTAAGATATTCGAGTGTTTTGTAGAGGGTCCATGAATACCTTATAATGTAAATAATATTAATGAACTTTTTCATGAAGTAGGCTGCCAATACACAACAGGCTCTACTTTAGCCTCTGAGTGAATGAACTAAACAACTTTCCCCTTATTGAAAGCACTCTTCGATGAATGCATAAATTTTATTTACATTTTCATTTTTGTCATCAAATAAGATCTTTTTTATAGGAATGTTTTACTTCATTATCTTATTCTAACCAATTGAATGTAAGATATTTGATATTCATTGTATTCCATTTGTTTTGTACTTCTGTACCAGAACAATTAATAATATGAGTTACTTTGTTATTAATAATGAATTCTCGATCCTTTATAACAAAAATAGGTTACTTGTGATGCATACTCATCTCCTATGAATAAACCATCTTTTATCTTAATAGCTCCCACTATAATACTCTAGGCCATATAAATGCTTTCAAAAATTTATTTATAATAATTTTTTATTTAACAAATCATCATTATTCTATACAAAAGGACTTTGTGAGTTATATTATATTTTCACAATTATTTAAAATGAAAAAAATGCACTTTAAAATATGTATTAAAAATTAAGCTTCAATTTCTTTGGATATATCAACACTTAGGAATTGAAGCTGACTCAATATTATTGATTAAATGTAATTTTTATTTTAATTGAATGCAACTTAAAATTAGGATAGTATTTAGGAAGTTAAATTATAAGAGCATTTAATAAATTAATTTAATATTAATGAATACCACCCTCTAATTACACTTGCCAAAATTACAGCAATTCATTTAGAATTTTACAGAGGACAAGAGTTCAATAGATTTATCAAAGCTATAGAATAAACTTGAATTGAGAATCCAATAAACTTCAATTTCTATTAATGAAGTACTCCACTTTTATGAATATTGTCAATCATAGTATTTTAGTTTTTTTTCAAAAATTAGGGAGTTCTTAAAAATGCATAGCTCAAGGAATTGGACAGATGAAGAATGGAAAATATTATTATGGGTAACATAATAGTATTGTTTATTGTATTCAAAAAGCAGTGATGAATTTGTAAATCAATATAAGTTTAATTTAGTAAGGATAGGATTGGAATACTATATCTGAAATAATAGCATTTAAAGACTCATTAAATTGTTAATTTAAATGGTTATCTCACTTAAGAATTGCTCCTTAAAATAAAAATTGGCTACCTGAAGAAGATAAATTGCTCTATAAAATAATGACAAAAGAACCAAATATAAAGTGGTTTGAAGTGTAATATGAAATGTTTATTTAATCGCAAGGAATCTATTTTAGAAAAGCAAAATAATACAGAGAGAGGTGGAATAATTATCTGAATCCTTAAGTAAATAGGTAAAATTTTTGGTTTATCATTCTAAGAGGTATTTGGACTGAAATTGATGATTATAATTTGTTATAAATTACATTAGTAGAAGGATTGAGATGGTCAAACATATCAAAAAAATTAAAAAATAGGACTGAGAACTAAGTTAAGAATAGATTCAAAAGTATAATCAACAAAGAGAAAAAGATAGTCTAAATTCCATCTGATTTACTTTAAGATCACTAAGATGATCCTCTAAAACATGGATTAGATAAAATGACTGAATTTCTAATTCATTCAATTCTATGTAGATTAAAACCAGTTGAAAATACAAAGAACTCTAACAGTATTAATCTATAAGAACAATAAAATTATAATAGTGAATAATCATTCCCTTAAATACCATAATATTCTTATATGATACCCCCTCAATAATATTACTTTTAATAATTTCCATAAATACCTTAGATTTAATAGATTTAAACAATACCTACAATACAACCATAATTATAAACAATTAATCCTATTCTTCCTTGTTAATAATAATAATTATAGGGAATGAATATATAGATTCAATAAAATTAATCTTTAATCTCGTAATAGCTTATTTAATAACAATTAATTCAATAATAATAATAATAATAGATGATCCCAAATTTTTATTAAGCCTAATATATTCCTTAATAATTTATTTAATAATAATAATAACAATTTAAATTCAATTTATATTCATCTTAATAAAATACACCAACCAATTCAATAGGAACACTTAGTTCATAACGTTCTGATAAACTGATTTCGGATTAAATAAAAGAAGAAGAAAATAGTGGATCTTCTTCAAATAAAGAACCTAAAGTATAAAAATTGGTTTGTGTATCTGCATAATCATCCATTAATGGTTCAACAAGTTCGGTGAATTCAATGGATGTAATCAAACAAAATTTCAATAATATGCATATAGATTCTGAATAAAATAGCCCAGATCCTATTTAAAAAAGAAAACATTAGCGTTCATAATCAAATGCCTTTGATGTAAATAATTAAGGAAAGATTAAGACTAAGAGATCGAGATTCTTTTATGCTTCGAATGATGGTTGAATTAATTTAATTAATGAATAAATTTTTATCAAAATCATTCACATAACTTCGTTGTTATTGGGTTTCTAAGTCTTATAATACATCTTAAGAAATCTAAATTTGTAGTTCAAGATTAGATTTAACTCGTGATGATTTATAACCAGATGAGTTGACAACTTTAATATGTACATAATTAGATCCAATTAAATTAATTGATATCTACAATAGATACAAATATTCATTTACAGAACGTCATTTATTATAGAGTTTAAAAATTACAGCTAAAATGTAAGGAATGTATAATTTACCAGTTCATGATCATTATTTTAATGAATCCTACTAAAATCTAATAAGACAATTCAATTAATATATATCTACTTTAAATAATCTAGATCTAGGAGACTTTATATATTGGTATAAGAAACTCTTTTATGATAATTTAAGTGTAGGATTTTTAAATTCAGTCGATGTTAAATAATTGTAATAGATAATTAAAAAATACATTGAGGATAATTAGTTTCTACCAAGATAATTAAACATGATCTATGAATGTGTTGACATGATTTTTCCAAATGATGAAATCTTAAGTAAACTTTATATTGATTATGTATTTTCAACTAATGAAATTACAGTTGTATAACTTATGCAATTTCTTACTTCTATAAATAAGAAATTTATAATAAAGAAAAGAGTAGATCTTTATTGTATTTTATAAGTATTAAATTACTCTAAAAATGTATGTAAGAGTTTTGATGTTGATTAATATGCATTTATGACTAAAACATTTGTAAATATGAGATTAAAATATCATGTAACAGAAAAATAGTATTTGGAATAAATAGAAGACAAATTTGAAGCTACAAAATAGAATGTCAAATATTTAGAATCAGGTTCTATTATTGCCTTCTTATAAAATTGTAAATATTAAAACCCAGAAGAATCTAGATCACTATTACTTCTTATTCATGAATAAGTTTAATAAATGTTATAAAAATATGAAGATAAATAAAGTAGTCTTAATTTTGATTTCTTAATTTAATATTTATAGAATGTGATATTTGCTGATTATATCGACAATAACGATATTCTTAAACTTGAATTAGTTTGCTTAAATTTGCTTAAGGAAAATTTTAATATAACTAATGTTTACTAAATGTCATTGTATTATTTAGAAAAAAAGAAAAAATGTGAACCATTTGCAGAATATTTAAAAATTGTTCTTAATAATCTAAGCATGTAGAATATTAATTTAAACATTAAAAATCTATTGTATCTTCATTTTATATGTGAAATTGATATATCTTAATTTTTAAGAAAACTCAACAATCAAAATTTCTCAAATACATAAATAGATAATTATGATGATGTTTAATTATCTAAGACATCTATTCTTAATATGGTTATTTTATTTGATGAATATCCATAAATACCTCTTCCTGAATTTATAGCTAATTAATTTTATAAAATGGGATCTATGCCACTATTATTAGCTTTATGTAATTGTCAATATTTCAGTCCAAGAATGAGAACATTATATACTTAAAAATTATAAAATTTAAGAGGTGAAGGAAGGCTTGATAAACGATTTAGATAGAATATTTTAGAATCCATAAAAACTGAAGAAGATGCTTATCACTTATATAAATGGTTTTTTTAAAGCAATAAATTTTAATTAAATATAGCCTTACTTTAAGTTCTTATATCAAATGAAAATATTAATGTAAATTATTTTATATGATTAAAGTATAGATCACTAAGCCTTAAGCATACTTTTTATATTTAGTAATTAAAAGTTCTATTGATGTTTTAGATATGGAAATAATAATAAATGAATTAATTTATCAAACTAGATTTTTTGATTTTCTTTTGGAAATAGATTAAGATATAATTAATAAAATACTTGAATAGTCTTATAAATTTAATGATGGATAAGGCACAGCAATTATGATTTAATTACTAGAATAAAAATTTCCAGATAATTTGAAACAATTCAAAATCCCTTAACACTTAATGTTAAATTATTAATGCCTGGAATAATATGATACAAATTTCATTTTAATGATGATTAAATATCATTGTTATCCTTTGAAGGATAGTTTAAAAATTTTTAATAATTTAATTAATTTTTAATAAAATGAATTAAGACTATTCATACTCTATTTAGAAATGAGTTAAACAATAGGATTAGAAAAGATGCATTCCTATATTTTAAAACAAATAAAAAAACTCAATGAAACCTATATAATATAAATATAATGATAATCTTATTAAATCTTAATTTAAACATACATATGTTTTCTTCAATTAATTATATGTTCTTTAATAACATATCAATCATTTTATTTTTCTATCCTCTTAAAGTTATTTAAAAATTCCAAACACTATCAAACCTCCTCCAAGTAACCCTTAAATTGATAATATCTTTCCAAAAATAAAATAATCAAAAAATATCTAATAAATCATTTAAGAAAATGGATAATTACATAGTTTTTCATATGATACTAAGGCTTAAGCTCTGAACTATAATAAATGTCCAGATAAACTAAATAATCCATAAGCTAGAATGTATAAAAAATAATGGTCAAAGTACTCAAATATAGCTATATATTGATGTTGAACACTCATAACAAAGATAACTGCGAGATGAAAATAAAATGTTGTTATTGTTGGTCTTACATCCTTGCCAATTTACTTTAAATTGCTAAACCCTGCTGCTTAGACAATACTACAGATTAATACACTTAAGCAAGCAATAATTCTATTCATATCATTCTCCTGAGATAGTTTTGGATTTACTATCAATACTATCCCAATTATACATATAAATGTATTAATCATTCTGCTTTTAGTTATTGGTTCTTTATTGACGATTAAACTTATTATTTAACTCCATACAGCTGTAGTTGAATTTATTACCGCTGCTTCTGAAGTAGTAATATAATAGATTCCATAAAATAAAAAAGATGCTCCTATAGCTACTAAAAGTTATGAAAAAAACAATAGTTGAACTTTATCTTTAGGATAAAAATCATACTTATATTATCCAAAGAAAAGTATAATTAAAGTAAAAAAGGACCTAAAAAATAATGCTTGTGTTAAAATATTAAAGTGAGCATACTTATAGGTTGTAAATTATAGACTATGAAAAAAATATGCTACAAGAATGTATCCAATTGAGACACGCTCAATATTTTATTATTCTAAAGTTTATAATCTTCCAATAATGTTGTTTAATACCATCTTTAATGAATTTATTTACTTATTTTCTAAATAAAATAAAAATTGAAAATTATCATTAATTAAAACTATTTAGTGTTCCTTTTCGAATTCCTAAATTTTAATAATAAAAATCTGTTAAAAAAAACAATTAAAATAAATGATATTAAAATCAGATATTTTGATCTTTGATTATAATGATTTTTAAATATAAATAAATAAATTCTAAATATATATGTATATTTAAAATAAATGATTTATATTTAATTATAAAAAATAGTTTAAAACTTATTATTTTTTTTCATTTATTATTATTTACTATATCTTGATCTTCATTTTAAATCATGGAATTAGTAAGTTTAATTTATCTCATTTATCTTAATTCCTATATTTCTTTGCAAATTCCAAATTATTTAACTTCTATTTCATTTTGATTTACTAATTTAAAAGCAGCTACATTTGGAGTACTTTAATTAGAATTTCCAGAAGATGCATGTTTCATAGATTGAGCAGATAGTGGTTATGGTTATGCTTTTTAATTAGATTATGTCATATTTTTTTATTATTATTTCTATAATATTTCTTATTACTTTTTCTTTCTTTCCTCTTTTTAAATCTTTTCTTTTTTATTTTTCAGTAAACATCTTAACATTTTGAGTATTTTTTCTCCAAATTTTTCAGAAGAATCTTTTTAATTTTCACAAAAATAAGCAGCACTTTATTTATAATTATCCTCCAATTAAGTTAATTATTATTCTATAATAAAAATATTTGTTTTAATTTCTTCCTGCAATGGCTATAGAAATGTTCTAACTTAATCTTCTTAGTCTTCAGTTTAATATTCCATCGCTTTTGTTACAACATTTAATCCTTTTTTAATATCCGAAAAATCTATTTATAATTGTGATATTGATATCTTTTCAATTGGTTCCAAACTCTATATAGCTGTATTTAATATTATTAATTTATTACATTATTCATCTATTATTTCTTTTTTCAATATACTTTCTGTTAAATCTATCACATAATAAAGTAAATTCTCTTAAGCATCACTTGTTTTCATATCTGCACATTTTTCTATTGTATCTATTTTAAATCCCTTTGCATTTCCTCTGCTTGTAGATGCTAATTATATTAAATTCATAAATTTTACCATTTAAAAAATTACCAATTTTTAATACAACTTTAAAAAGTGTTTCAATTTCAGGCATTTATCTTACTTTTAAGAAACTTTAATCAAGAGTGCTAATCTTCTTTTTTAAATCTGCAACCTATTCTTTAAAACCAATTTTAAATTTGATAGCCTTTAATCTATGTTAGAAACCATTAACTGTTCTTAAAGCATCGACAAATAATTCAGGATTACCCAATTAATCTTTTTCACCAGAATATTCTGATAATTATTTTACTTCTTCTTCAGTTGGACAAATTCCATCTAAACTTTCAATTATGGCAGATGTTAATATTTTATCATCAAAAGATTTTAAAAGCTTTATTATTATATTATTTGGAAGTTTTAATTTACCCAAAACTAACTCAATATTTTTAGATCTTTCAGAAGATAAAAGAGTAATTTTGGCAATTGTTTATTAAGCACTAGATTATTTTATATTTTGTTCTTTTGGTTAAACTTTAGTAAAGTTCTTTTCTAACAACAAAAAATCTACATTAATTTCTTCTACATCATTTGATATTTTTTGAAAAATAGAATTATTTTAATTCTACATATTAATTGCTACCCAATTCAAATTACGAATAGGTATTGATGGAAATTATTAAACCATTTAATTAGAAGTTTATTATTGATTATTGTCTATAGGAAGTGGTGGTGGAGCTCCACCATTTCTAGGAGGAGGTGGTGGAGGTGGTGCTCCATTCTTTGATGGTGGAGGTGGTGGTGGTGGAGGTGGGGGAGCTCCGTTCTTTGAAGGTGGTGGTGGTGGTGGAGGTGGAGGAGCTCCGTTCTTTGAAGGCGGTAGTGGTGGAGGAGGTGGGGGAGCTCCATTCTTTAATGGTGGTGGAGGAGGAGGAGGTGGGGGAGGAGTTTGTGTTTTAGGAAGTGGTGGTGGTGGAGGTGGAGGGTTAGATGCTTCCTTTTGAACAGTTTAAGGAGGTGTTGAATTTAAAGTAGAGGAATTTTGAGTAATTTAATTCTAAAGTCTATTCTATAACTCTTCAGGCTAGTTTTCAGTTTATACAAATGTATTTTAAATTTATTTTTTTAAATTGAATGATACTAAAATCTAAGCTTATTAAATTTATTTTTCTTATATTTTTTGATAATTTTTGGCCTAATTCTATTATATGTTATCATTATTTTAATTAAATAGTTATTTTTATTCAAGTTTTTCAATTTTTTTTTATAATTCTATTATCGTTTATTTAGATTTATCTATTTATTTTTTAAGTTCTTCATTCTCAGCTTTGAAAATGGCATTTTCATCTATAAGTGATTTTAATTCAAGTTCTTTTTCTGAACATAGCTCTTTTTCACTTTGAAGTTACTTTTTATAATCCTCTAATTCTGCTAATATCTCATCTTATTATGAAGTAAGTTAATTTTCAGAATTTTTGGAGGAATCAATTTGTTTTATAATTTTAGTAGGTGAATCAAAACTAGATCCTCTTTCTTTTGGCACTAATTCTATATAGGGATCTGATAATTAGGTTGAATTATTATCATAATAAAAATCAGTAACTTAAATTTCACTAGCAGCTTTTAGAAATGAATCTTAATTGTTATCTAATAATGAATATATATTTAAAATAGCATTTATCCATTCTAAGACATTTCTTTGAATTCCATAAAATATTGAATCTTAACCAAACTCAAAATAATAGTATTGATCATTTTTAAAATCTTAATTCAAAGATTCATTTTTAACTATTTCTGGTACTACATCTTGTAAATTAATCTTTTCAGGAATAATGAAATCTTATGTTTTAAATCTATTAGTTAGTAATTATTCACTTCCATCTGATGCTAAGGGATGTTAAAACTTTTTTAAGTCTTTTCTAACAGATTCATAAGTACAATCCTCTTTTTAATATAATTATTTTTATATTCTTGCTTAAACCAAGCAAAATACTTCATTTACTTTTTTATCATTAACTTTAGAATCAAAAAATTCTTTAACAACTTCATCAACTATTTCATTGTCTAAGGAATATAGAAATTTGAATAAGAATTTAATTATTAGAAATACCATAATTAAATTCTTAGAGGCATAGATGGTTCTTACTAAGATATCGAATCTAAATTTTAAATTTTAAATTGAACCTATTTTATAGTTAATATGTTTTCTAAAATTTATGCATAGCTTCTAATATTTTTTAGACACATCCAGGTTACCAACTTAATCCTTTACTTCCAGATAATATCTTAAGTGTAATTCCTGTAATTTTGGTTTCAATTGGATGAAAATTACTAAACAATACTCCAAAAAAACCATCTACCATTAAACATTCTCTCCCAATCTTAAATTATAGCAAGAATTCAAAAAATTCTAAAATAGTAGTTTATTCCCTAAAATTTTTCTATATTCTTGACTATTCCTCTAACTGTTTTAATTTCATCAATAATGTTTACACAACTAAGTATTATTTAATTAATTGCAGCTTCTCATTAATATATTAGAGTTATTATTATTCCTTTAAGTTATTTAGTAAGGCTGAGATATATATTAATAAATTTACAATTTAAATGAAGATCAGAATTATCCTAAATAAGTCTAATTATTTAAAGCTTAGTTTCTTCAAGTATTTTTTTTATTTTTGTTTCTTCATTTATTTAATTCTTCTTTTATGTTAATATAAAGTTATTGTACAATTAACATATTCTGAACTTATATTTGGGTTCAAGTTGTTTTATTTGTTCTAATTCTTTTTACTCTAAGCAAATCTTAAAAATTATCAAAATGATACCTAATGTAGCCATTCAATAAATTATTTCTCTATTTCATCTTTTGATGGAGGTTTACAAAAATTTTTTTCACCTTGTAATTTCTTTGTCTCAATTGTGAATTATAATCCATTCTTCATTATGAATGTACGACTTGGAACACTCATAAAGTTATTACCCATCTTGAATAAATATAATAAATAATTAAGATGACGAAATTTGTCTAAAAATTATTAATTTTATTGAATCAATTAATCTATATAAGCTCTATTTCTATTAAAAATGGAAGGATGTCTTAGATTATATATATTAATCTTTTATATTTACCATCATAATGTAAAATATTTTAAGATAATAGAAATGCTATGGATTCACACTTAAATATCTATATGGATAAATAAAAAGGACAGATTTTTAAAGAAATAAAAATAAACATTTTAAGGTATGCTATTAAACAGTATAAGATATCATTTATAAAGTTAATAATTAAATATATTTAAATCATATTATTCTAGGCTTTTTCTTTTGATATTTTGATATCAGTAATTTAATTTGATTAATATCATTTAAAATGATTTTTTGAATATGCAAAAAATTATGGTTATATGCTATTAATAATTACTCAAATTAGGATTGTTAAATATCATGTATTTTAGCCTTAAGCATAGTGAATGTTTAATCATATTGATTAGGACTTTGATCTTATATTATTCTTGGAATATTTCCAAATAGACTTTCACTCAATTTCAATTATTCATCTCCAAAAAAAGATTCATCCATTAATTGATTGACAAAACTTTACGAGAGAGATTTACTAAAATTTAAAGACGGTGAATTTGGAGGACTTGGTTCATATAATAAATATTTAGGTATCTTATCTTATAATTTTGGATTTTATGTTTTAGATTAAGGACTTTCTAAAAATGAATTGGAATTTTAATTATTATCCTCAATAATTAATTATTTTTTAATTATTGTTACAGGGATGGGTTATATTTCGATAATACTCTAGTTATTTGATTAAATATTTAATTTAGAAGGTTTAAGAATAACTTCTTTTGATTATGATTATTATTAAGGTAAAATTTCAATAATAGAAGGTTAATCTATTAATTCAATATTATTATTTTCAAGAGGAAGTTAAATATTTTAATTTTATGGTATATTATCAACATTAAATACTTATATTGATTATTATTAGTTTTCATTCACTTATTAATTGTATACTTCATTTTCTTTTTATATTTCTTTTTATCTTATAGTTCTACAATCAATTAAAAGATTTGATGTAACAATTTTAACACATCTGTAGTTTTTTTATTTTTTATATTGTAATATGAAATCTTTAGTAAAAATTTGTTTAGATTATGGAAGATTGATATTTAAAAGTTAAAATTCTTCTAAAAGTTCTAAATTTAAAAAATTTCCCTTCCATAATTACTCTAATTTTCTTTTGATTTTGATAGATTCATCTAATGGTTTACGACCTTTTTTCATAAAAAAAATCAAATTTTTGAGTATATAAATAGATAAAAAAAATAAAGGCAAAACAATTGATACATAAATTATCATTTCATTAATTCTCTCATTTTTTATTCAAATTATTTTTGTAATACACCTTATGGATCAAAGTATCGTAAATCACCAGTTTTCTTTACTCTTAATATTCTTGTATAATATTTATGATGCAATTATGTTAAATTATCTAGTTAATTTGTTAGTGATTATTAAAATATAAAAAATGGACTAAAAAAGACAGGGATTCTTAAAGGAATTTTAACATAAAGGGGCCAATTCAAAAACTTAAGAAATATTATTAGATCATACTTTAGGGATTCTTTTCATTTACAAATTAAGCACTGTTCCTAAAACAAAAATACCTAATGTATTTCTAACAAAGCCTATTGCTGTCTTTTTAAATTATGTCTAAATTAATTATTAATCAAATACTTCATCTTATTTTTCAACGAAATCAGGGTTTTGCATTAAAAAGAAGAACATATTTTATGAATCTACTTATGCAAGAGACATTAAAAGTAATTGATTATTTGGATCATTTGGATTCCCTATTGGATTTTGAAATGGATTGTTCATTTAATTTTAATTTAAGGTAAATATTATTACAAAAAAGAGTTAGAAATAATAAAAATGTTTAATATTATGCAAATCAATATTTTTATATAATCAATTTACTATTTACAAAACTGAGCATTATAGCAAAAGTTTGAATCAAATCTAAATTTGATAATTAATAGTTTCTTATTTATTTACCAACTATATTATCAATACCTTTAGTATCAATATATTGAATAACACCCATACATTTATCTTCATTCTTTATAGGTATAGTTATAGTAGATAGATTTGTTTCAATATCAGCTAATTTATTAAATTATTTATCTCTATAACAAGAATCAGAAACATAGAATTATCCTGTTTTATAAACATAACCAATAATTCCACATGTTTTTGGTACTTTTTTTCTTTATTATTCAATAAAAGTAAAAAGACTTTCTTAATCTTACATATCTTTAAAATAAATCTATACTTATTTTAATTCATATGTTTTAGATAGTATTTATTATGCTAAAATTATAAATTATTTTTAATCAACAGATTACTATAAAATTAAAGATAATTTCAAAATTTACTATAAAGCTTCACAAGTTTTAGAATTATACTCTTAATAAATATATTAATAAAAATGTGTTGCTGCTATTTGTGAAATTATTTAAATCAAAAGTTCATCATCTTTTTTAAATTATTAACAAGTAGAAGATATAATAATAACACCAATTATTTCATCTTTTACATATATAGGACATGCAACCATTGATTTTGTTTTATTCTATTTATTTTAATCGTATTCCTAATCAAATCTTACATCTTAATAAACATCATTTATATTTAACAATTATCCTTATTTAGTTACAAATCCTAATATGCCTTTAAATGGATATTATGTCTTTTATTAACAATCTTAGCTTTTACTCCAAAATAAATGGAATTTTTAATCATATAAATAAACTTAAGCCCTATCACAATCAAACAATTCCAATAGAAGTTTCTAATAGTTATCAAATGTTTAAGATGGTGTACAGTATTGTATCTCAAATGTTAATTTTATGATCTTCTTTAATTTATCAATATATAATATGCATTTTTCTGATAAATCCTTAATAAATTTAAGTGGTTCATAAAGGTACTGTAAATATTCTATCATTTTGAACAAAATCATAAATACCTTAATATTCTAACTTCTATATATATTAATATAAATCTTTTTCATTAAGTGTAAAAATTTAATTTAATTTTTTATACGTCATAGATTTTAATTTCGATTGTTTATAATCTAGTAAGTTATATATAAAGTTCTGATCTATGGCTTCTTAACTTATTTTTCTTAATTAATCCTTTAAATATTTTAAAATAACTCTTACTTTTGTAATTTATTAGTCTACATCTAAAGAACCTCTTCTGATTAAAAATTTTTATCTAGGAGTTGGATCTAATCTGCTGCTTGATGTCATTTCTATATTTTTAACAGATTAATCTTTCTTTGTTGGACTACTATCTTTAGATTTATTCCTATCATGATGAGAAGATGGTTCCTTTTAAATATAATCTCCATTTTGAATGCTTGAAGCTTTACATGACTGAAGAGCATTATAAAATTTTGTATTTTACTTTTCCAAATCAAATGCTATTTTGATTAATTAATTTAAAAGGTTTTACAACTAAGGATTGAGTTATTTCCTTTTATTATTCATTATTTTACATTGAGTTCTTAATTTCTTCCACAACATTATTAAGAGAAGAATTAAGAGATGGTCTTCTGGATCGAGCAGATAATGGCATACCTGTACTACTACGTTTTCTTTAAGGAGAGATTGATATTCTAAAACTCATTATATTAAAAATAAAGTAATTAAAATGATATCATTTAATAATCTATAATTTTACAATCTCTTTAAAATCTTTAAATAATATATCTTGAGTATAATTGAGAACTTTAAATAATATTATTTTTATAATATTAAATACTTATATACCTCAAACAAACGAATTACTCAAAATCATTATCTTTAATTCTTAATTTCCTTTGAATTCATCATATATTATTCTACTATTTAATTCAAATAAGAATCTACTATTTATTATATATTTTCATTTAAATCATTAGATTATTGTACTTATTTTTCTTATTATTATGTCTATTCTTATTTTTAATATGATTATTCTTAATATTATTATTATTCTTATTACTATTCTTATTATTATTCTTTTTATTCTTATTCTTTTTATAATTATTCTTTTTATTATTATTCTTTTTATTATTATTCTTTTTATTCTTATTCTTATTTATCTTAATCCTATTTAGATTTTTCTGGTTATACATTTTAAATAACTTATTCTTCTTTATTAATCATTTCTGTTACATCTTCTTTATTTACTTATTAATTAGTTTATAATAAATCTTTTGTACCTTACTCAATATTCACTTTTTCTTCATAATTAATCTGAATAATATTTTCCTATTCTAAATTACATTAAATTTCTTATTCATTTTTTACTTTCTTATAATCATAAGAAATATTAATTTATTTAATACTTACCATTTCTTTTTGGTTACAACAAACTCCAGTATCAGTTTTTTCAATCTTATGAATCCAGTTTAATTAAATAATCTATTCTATTCCCAAACTCTTTAATTTTTTATCATTTCCTAATTCTATTTCTTCTGTTTAAGTTGAATTTGGTTTATAATTTTTTTATTTACCTAATTAAATTTATGGAGTTTAAGTAATTGATAAAACAGGTTTCTTCTTAATTACTGGTATTACTTCAATTACTGAAAAAGCTTAATTTAATTTTAATATTCTTTGTTATCCTGATATACTTTATTTAGGGGAGACATTTTAATTTAATAGCATTGATGGTCCTTAGGTTATAATTATAATTATACTTTTTGGTTTGACTACTGATTCTTTATTATATGAAAATAGTATAATAGATGGAAACAATGATAATTCTTTCTCTTTTAAATATAATATGAATAATATTACAAATTTTGCCAATTTCAGATTTAGGCTTCATTTACAATAATTAAAATATTCTTGAAAGATTAATCAGAAAAGGGGATTTAGTGATTTCAAAATTTAATTAAAATAAGTATTCAGCTTCATCATCAGATAGTGAATTATCTAAAATAAGTGTAAATGCTTCTAATAATTATTTTGGTAGACAAAATCCATCTTTAATATTTGATCTATAATATTTAATAATATATAATTACTTTTCAATTCTTTTAATTTATTTAACAGAATCTTGTAATTAATTAAATTTATTTATAATCTTTCTTGATATACTCTAAAATAATTATCCTTCTTCTTCAATAGTTAATAATTCATATGAATCCAATAGATGAAATATTCTGGATTTGAGTACTTATATTGGTAACTCTTTTTGCAAAACAGTAGAATTATATGGTGATTCTTCACTTAATAGATACATGGTTATGTGATAAGATTGTTGAGGATTCAGATTAAATGGGAATCTATTTAGAAAAAGTAAAGATACTTTTAAAATCTTGATTAAATTGAGAAGAATCTTATATCATCTTTTTTTAATAAGTATTTTGATATATCTTTCTATTCAATTTTTGCTCTCTTTAATCTAAATCTTAATATGGTTTTAATTTCTTCATATGTCTATTAGAATTTATATGGAATTTATGTCACTTTATCTTCACAAACTTTATTTTATAACATTTTTTATGTTTTGAGTTTAATGTCATTAATTTAAAGTTCTAATTTATTGACTTCTTATTCTAAATTTGATATAATATTTTATTTAATTCCTAATTAAGCATTCTATTATTCAATAAATTATAATTATTAATTAATTTTTGCATTATGAGTTTTATTGAGACTAGTTAAGTTTTCTTCAAGTTCATGAATTTTTCTTTCTTTTTCTTGTAATTAAGATAATAAAGTATTTTCATTTATAGGATATTCAGGATTTTCATCTCTTCTTTTAGGATCTTTAATTACAACTGATTTTGAGAATGTATAAGAATTTTCTATTTGTTATTGTTTTTATATTTAAGACTCTTTTGTTAAAGTTTCATATTTTTTTTTTTCTGCATTTAATTATTATAATTGATCTGATTACAATTTGATTTATTGTTATAATTGTTTAATATCTCTCTATTAATTTTCACAGAATTACATATATTATTTGATTTCTTATTTCAATTCTTAAATTTTAGATAAATAGCCAATATATTGAGATTTTTATGTTTCATTTTTAATATTTAATGCTTCATCTAGCATTTATTTAAGATTAATAGTTTCTTCTTAATATTTTTATATTTAATATTATAATTCTTAGATTGATGTAATTCTCATTTATTTTTATTGTGCTTATAATTGTTATCTTAAGACATCAATTTCATTTTATTAAACTCTTATTTTATATTTAAGAGTTGGGATGATGCTAGGTTATTCAGAAGTACGTCCTAATAATTATTAAGAATTAATTAGGTTTTCATCTATATGCTCATATTTCATGAGTTATCTCTAAAGATTTATTTATTATATACTTTTAGTTACATGTTTTGAGTTTTAATTTACCTATGTTCATCAGTTAATTGATTAAGTTGTTGTCGTGTTTCTATAATTTCATCTTTTGGTCGATTGATGAAGATTTTTGTAACTTATGCACTTTATGGTCTTTTCATTAATAATAATAATTTCTAATTAAATTATGGTATCAATAAGAAGAGCTGAAATGCAAGATTTATAGCATATGTAACATTGCAATTTATGGTGTTTGCCAGAAAATTACACATATAAATATTACTTATATCATGGAATGGTTTGGCAATCATTATTATATGTTGCTGAAGACATAGTAATTAACATCAATAGATTTTGAATAGAATAGTGGTAGAATTGTTGGATACGTATTGGCAAAATAAGATGAAGAAGATGAAGAAGGTACAAAGTTAGAGCATGGACATATAACATCTTTATCAGTTTTAAGAACACATAGAAAATTAGGATTGGCTAATAAAGTTATGTAAAGTACTCATAGAGATATGGATAAAATATTTGAATCACATTATGTTTCTTTACATGTTAGAGTATCTAATAGAGCAGCTTTAGGATTATATAGAGATAAATTGGGTTATGAAACATTTGATACAGAAGAGAAATATTATGCTGATGATGAAAATGCATATAATATGCGAAAATGGTTTAGAAAAAAAATAGAGAAATAATAATGATTGTCTATCACAATATAACCATATATAATCAAATTGGTCACATTTTATCTTATTTATTCTTTTTTATTTTTCTTATAAATTCTTAGCCAAAAATTTCAAATAATGGTAATCCTGTAACATCTTCTGAAAATGTTATTTCTGGCCATTAATTGATTTCCAAAACAACTAATCCATGTTTTCTTGAATCTATTATATCAACTCCTCCAATTGTTAAATTAGGATCAATTGCTTAACATGTCTTTTCTGCTAATCTAAAATATTCTTCTTTTTTTTAACAATCCATCTTAGATTCTATTTTAAAATCATCACTATAACCATTAGATTTAAAATCCTATTATATAATTAAGATATAATACAATATTATCTTAGAATTCTGTTACTGATACTGCTCTACCACCTATAACTAATACTCTGATGGATCGACCAACAGAATCACTCACAAAATCTTATATTATAGCCTATTCTCCATTCCAAAGAGATTTACAAAATATTTCTGTGCTTTATATTTTATTACAAGATAATTTCACACCTGTTCCCTCATATCCTATAACCTCTTTCATTATTGCTTTGCTTTCAAATTGAGATAAGTTTAATTTAAATTATTAAACAGAGAATGAAGCACTACAACGAGGAAATGGAACTTAACATTTACTAAATTTTGCATATTGCAATAGTTTGTCTTATAATATATTTTCTGTAAATGGTGAATATAATGTAGTTTTTCCTGCTGTATATGCTGCAAAATTAAAGTACATATAATCTAAATAGTGTTTTGGTGCCATATATCCATAACCTAAAAATGCATCAAATTATATTTGCTCACCATTTCTTAAAAATATAAATTCCTATTATTGTTTTATTTAATACTTCTCCAATTATAACACTTAATTCTTCTAATTCAGTTACAATTATTGTTGCATTTTATTTTTTTAAAGTCTGAATTACTAAATCATCCATCATCCCATAAAATATAGGATCTGGGTTTTTCATATAGAGTATAATAATGTTTTCGTTTAACATATTTTATTATCGATATCAATTCTTGTAAATTTATTATATGCATTCTAAATTACATTCATTTGCTTCAAGAATTAGTGTAAATTCATGAATCACTAATTAATAAATCCTTATGGTATTAGAATTCTTTATTAAAATAATAAACAATTTGAATAAATATATAAATATCCATATAATATGGTTTTCTTTATATATATATTAATATATGATATATCTATCAATTCTTAATTATTAACTATTATAAATTAATAATGTAATAATATAATCATAAAAAAGTATCATATTTTATATAATAAAAAGCATATTTGTTATATTCCCTATTTCTTATATATCTACATTATATTTAATTGGATGATCCAAACGGTGTTTCAAAATATATTCAATTATTATATGTAAGTATATTCTTAATAAATATTTTATATTATCTAACAAGATTATATTTAATTTTTAATTAATCAACTTGACAATCTTTTATATAAATCAAATTCATAACGACTTTTTTTCGAAAAGCTCTGTCTAATCCATTGATAATCTTTCTATCATCTCTTATAGAGATTTAATACATATCAATATAGTATATGATTGATATCTTTAATAATTNCCTATTATATAATTAAGATATAATACAATATTATCTTAGAATTCTGTTACTGATACTGCTCTACCACCTATAACTAATACTCTGATGGATCGACCAACAGAATCACTCACAAAATCTTATATTATAGCCTATTCTCCATTCCAAAGAGATTTACAAAATATTTCTGTGCTTTATATTTTATTACAAGATAATTTCACACCTGTTCCCTCATATCCTATAACCTCTTTCATTATTGCTTTGCTTTCAAATTGAGATAAGTTTAATTTAAATTATTAAACAGAGAATGAAGCACTACAACGAGGAAATGGAACTTAACATTTACTAAATTTTGCATATTGCAATAGTTTGTCTTATAATATATTTTCTGTAAATGGTGAATATAATGTAGTTTTTCCTGCTGTATATGCTGCAAAATTAAAGTACATATAATCTAAATAGTGTTTTGGTGCCATATATCCATAACCTAAAAATGCATCAAATTATATTTGCTCACCATTTCTTAAAAATATAAATTCCTATTATTGTTTTATTTAATACTTCTCCAATTATAACACTTAATTCTTCTAATTCAGTTACAATTATTGTTGCATTTTATTTTTTTAAAGTCTGAATTACTAAATCATCCATCATCCCATAAAATATAGGATCTGGGTTTTTCATATAGAGTATAATAATGTTTTCGTTTAACATATTTTATTATCGATATCAATTCTTGTAAATTTATTATATGCATTCTAAATTACATTCATTTGCTTCAAGAATTAGTGTAAATTCATGAATCACTAATTAATAAATCCTTATGGTATTAGAATTCTTTATTAAAATAATAAACAATTTGAATAAATATATAAATATCCATATAATATGGTTTTCTTTATATATATATTAATATATGATATATCTATCAATTCTTAATTATTAACTATTATAAATTAATAATGTAATAATATAATCATAAAAAAGTATCATATTTTATATAATAAAAAGCATATTTGTTATATTCCCTATTTCTTATATATCTACATTATATTTAATTGGATGATCCAAACGGTGTTTCAAAATATATTCAATTATTATATGTAAGTATATTCTTAATAAATATTTTATATTATCTAACAAGATTATATTTAATTTTTAATTAATCAACTTGACAATCTTTTATATAAATCAAATTCATAACGACTTTTTTTCGAAAAGCTCTGTCTAATCCATTGATAATCTTTCTATCATCTCTTATAGAGATTTAATACATATCAATATAGTATATGATTGATATCTTTAATAATTCTCTCTTAAATTTAATAATTAATTTTGTTTCTATTGAATAACACATTATTAATAACAAGAAATCTTACTTTTTTATAATATTAAAAATTCTTCTTAATTTAGATTATAAGTTTTTATAAACTTTTGAAATAAATTAGGAATTAGATTCTATTCTTTGATGTATCAATATAAAAAGTTCTTAAGACTTATCATTATCCAGTAATGTTACAAATATTTTCAATATTATAGTAAATATAGTTATTAAAATGAGTCTACAATTTATTAATAATTATTGAGACTTAATTATAAAAATTATAAATAAAGTTTATAAATTTATAACTATAATTTTTAAGGATTATAGTTATAGATATTGATTCAAAATATCTACTAATTCTCTTATTATTTCTCAGTTTTTAGATATCTCTAAAATTTTAGATATCTAATAGTGATTGATCTGTTATAGGAATAGATTTTTCTATTAATTTTGCATTTTCTAATTAATTCTTTCTTACATTTAATTTAGCCATTCTCTAAATATTCTTCTAATTTAATTGATTTTAATAATAATGATAATATATTGTTTCCATTTATATTTATACTTAATCTAATTTTTATACTTATTTTTTACCTAAAAAAGTAATATTTTTCCATAATTTAATAGATTTTTTGATTTGACTGTCTATCATTAATTATAATAATTTTTATTAGTGAAGTTTTTTTGTTCTGAATCACTTGAGATTATATAATTTTAATATATATTTTAGGATATTTAATTTAGATGGCTGAAATAGAAGAGGAAATAACAATAAAAAGAAAGAAATAATATGGAATATGTTCTAAATTATGGTGTTTAAGATGTATGAATTGTTGTAAAGTATAAAATTATTTAATGATATATTTTTACTATTTTAGGCAGATGATGTTTCAATTTTAACATCAAGAAATAGAAAAGAATTGTCTGTTAAATTAATGACTAAATATTAGAATGCAATTTAATTAGTAATGAGTATTAATAATGACTAAGAATCCAGAAGAAATCTAAGTTTTAGATGTTCTTATATTATTGTATACATTGGATGAAAAATCTTGGGCTTATTAATATTTGTACTAATGTAAACTAATTTCGAATGATGAAAGTTCAAGAAATGATTTAGAGTTTTATATTCCATAATTAATGAATTATTTAGTGTTTCATGAAGAGATGTTGAATGTAAAAATATATACTAAATTTAGGAAAATATAAGTTAATTTATATTAACTTCATGTATTCATAATTTCTATTTTGCATAAGTTGTATATTGGACACTCTATTCAATAAGTTCAATTGTATTTAATAATTAAGTAACAGAATTTTAAAAGTATCTATATTATTATATAGAATAGAGTAAAATAATATTTACAAAATCTAATCAAAAGAATGGTATTGAATCATGAAACAAATTATGAAATAAAGGAATAAGATGATAAAATAACAGAAATGATATCTACTTATGGTACACCTTAATTTGATTAACAATCTATGAAATGTTTAATATTACCAGAACATATACAATTATCAAAATATATACCTCTAGAATAATAAGAAAGTTATGATTTTATGTCTTGTATCAATTTTTGGAATGATATAATATCTATATCAGATAAATTAAAATTTGCAGATCCAAAAATAATTTCATTAAGAGCTGATTTATCATTAATAAATACTAAATTACCTGCTAATGTTTACATTCCATTTGTAAAAGGTATAATAATTAATGTAAATATTTAAGATTAATTGAGACAATATACAATTTTAAATATAGTGGTTTAAGAAACTAAAATATTTTCTACTAAAGAAAGAGCTCCATTTTATTTATGTATAGAAGTTTATAATGTTGAAAAAGAGGAAAATAAACATGAAGATAAAAGAGAAAGAAAGAATTCTGAATTTAATGTTGATCTTAATATGTTAAGTGATTTTAAGAATTAATCTAATTTAACTATATCTTAAGAATCAAATCAAAGTTAAGGTGTCTGTAAATAAATATTTATTCAAATGTAGCTGAATGTTATGAAATAGAATTAAGTAAAAAAGAAGATTAAAAGAAATCCAATGATTAAACATTAGATTTTGAAAAAATAGGATAGGAAATCTTTGGTGAAGATTCAAATTAAATTAGTGAAAGAATTAGATAATAATCTCCATATTGTCATTTTAGATCTTGGAGATTAGTTCATTTAATTGTTAAAACAGGTGATAATTTAAAATAAGAACAATTTGCACTACAATTAATCAATTAATTTTAAATGATATTCTAAAAAGAAAATTTACCATTGAAATTGACAACATATGATATATAATCTTTAGGACCTAGTTCAGGTATAATGGAAATGATTAAAGATGCAGCAACAATAGATTCACTAAAAAAGAAATTAAATTCTATTGATAAAGATATTACTTTAAGTCAATTTTTCAAAAAATATTATACAACTAATTTACAAAAAGCTTAAAGAAATTTTTGTTGTAGTCTAGCTGCATATAGTTTAATTTGTTATTTCCTATAAATAAAAGATAGGCATAATGGAAATATTTTATTACATAAATCTGGTAAGATTTTACATATTGATTTTGGATTTTTTATAAGTATATCCCCTGGAAAAGGATTAGAATTTGAAAAAAATGTTCCATTTAAATTATTATCTGAATATATTGATGTTTTAGGAGGAACTAAATCTGAATTATTTAATCTATTTAGAAAATTATTTTTTAAAGGATTTGTTGCTTGTTAGAAACATTAAGATTAAATATTATTGCTAGTTAAGATGATGTATAGTGGACATGGATACACTTTACCATGTTTTAGTAAAGGTGAGATTGCAATACATGATCTTGAATCTAGATTTAATCCACCTTGTTCAAATGATGGAGAAATATCAGTATTTACTTAAAAGTAAAAATATATCTTATATAATTATTTAGTTTAATAAATTAATCTCTTGATAATTGGAGAGCAAAATGGTATGATAAATTTTAATATTACTTTTAAGGAATATTCTATTGATTATGAAAACTAATATTTTTAATCAGAATTTGTTATTTAATATACATTATATAATATTTTTATTCATTTTTTAATAGTTGATCTCTTATTTTTATCATTAAATTCATTGATATCATCAATTAAAAACATTAATTCATTAAAATCTGTTGATGTTTCTTTACTATTACGATTACTTTTTGGAGTTTTAGATAAAATTTTAGGTTTAAATGTACATGCTTTTATTTCTCTTTCTTACTTTTTTATTAATTCATTTTTTATTTTATTATCAACTCTTTATTTCCATTATTCATTCCTTTTACTTACTATCAAATTTTTCTATGGTTTTTATTGATTTATAACACCATATTAACCCCATTTTTAAGGAGAATTAGATTGTTTTCTATGTAATTTAGCATAACTAGAAGTTGAATTTTAAATATATGTAAGAGAATTCTTAATAGGATTTTTATTTGGACTAAAAAAATTTTAAGCAGAACTAGATTTACTATTAGGTGATCTTTTAACTTTACTTAGATCAATTTATATAACATCACTTTTATCTAATCTTTTGGATGATGTATTTTCAATTTATGCTTATGTATTTTAAATTTACTATAATTATTTAGTTTTCTATTGAAACCACTCTTTATCAATAACAGATTTAGGATGAGGTTCAGGAATTGGAAATGATTAAGAAACTATTAGATTTTCTTATTGTTATAAATTATTAAGAAGAGTCATTAGAATTCTCTGTTATTATCTTAAAGTCTCAAGTTCTTTATCAGTTGATTCTTGTTATTTTAATGGACTCTCACTTTAATATCTTCTAGTAGATTAACTAACCTATTTATCAGTCATTTTTCTATTAGATTCACTCATTTTAACATATGAATCATATTTCTTAAGTGTCAATCTTACATCTTTTTATATATCTTTAATTAATGTAGATGAATGTCTAGCCATTTATTAAGCTTAAAATAAGTTTTCATTAAGTTTAATATTTTCAATATCTGGTTTAACAGAATTGATTACTTTTTATGCATAAGTTACTTCATGAATTCTTTTTTTCTTCTAGCAATATAAATTATTCATAATAAAAAATAATAATTAATTATATATTCTTTAATTATTAGTAGTAGTCAAATAATTTGTATTTAATCAAATAAGATATTTTTAATTGTTAGATTAAAATACTATTTTTAGTTTTCATTACTTATTCCTCTATTTTAATTATAATCTTTGAATATAAAGTATTCTTATATATATAGGAATCTCTTTATTTTATATCTAATAATATTATGATGAGGTTGATTATATATATATATTTATAAATATTATATAAATAATTAAAAATGGCTGAAGTTAAACTAAGCAATCAAACTAAAGATAGAGTTGCTGCATGTAAATCTTACATTGAAAGAAAATATTAATTAAGTCTTTAATAGGAAATGGAAAAGAAGATGATTTGGCAACAATTGTAATAAAATATGCAGAATTTGAATTTCACTCCAATTGAATAAGAGTTAATTAAGAAGGAGATTTTACATAAAGAAGCCATTTAGCTCAGAAAAAAGTGAATAATTTATCATTTCAAGGCGACAGAAGATCACAGTGATGGATTTTGAACCAATTGCAATAATTGGAAGAGGTGCTTTTGGTGAGGTTCGTGTTTGTAGAGATAAAGAAACTAAAGAGATTGTAGCAATAAAGAAAATGAAAAAGTCTGAGATGATATTTAAAAATTAATTAGGACATATAAGAGCAGAAAGAGATATATTAGTATAAGCTAATTGTCCATGGGTTGTATAATTAAAATATTCATTTTAAGATGAAAAATACTTATATTTGGTTATGGAATTTTTAAGTGGTGGTGATTTTATGACATTATTGATTAAAAAGGATATCATTCCTGAAAAAGAGGCTAAATTTTATACAGCCGAAATAGTGCTAGCAATTGAAGCTGTGCACAAACTAAATTATATTCATAGAGATTTAAAACCAGATAATATTCTTATTGATGAAAATGGACATCTTAAATTATCAGATTTTGGATTATGTAAACATTTGGGAAATAAATAAAATGAAATATTATCAATTCCTTATACAGATAGAAAATAAGATACATAATAATAATAGACTAGAAGATAATTAGCATTTTCAACTGTTGGAACTCCTGATTATATTGCACCAGAAGTATTTTCATAGAAAGGATATAATGATTTAGTAGATTGGTGGAGTGTTGGAGTTATATTATTTGAAATGGTTATTGGTTATCCACCATTTTATAGTGATACTCCATAAAAAACATGTTAAAAAATTGTAAATTGGAAGAAACACTTTGCAATTCCAAAAGAACCCAAAATATCACCTGCTTGTGCTGATTTAATTAAGAGATTAATGGCTGATTCCTCTGAAAGATTAGGAGATGTAAATTTAATTAAAAAACATCCTTTTTTTAATGGAATTGATTGGGAAAATATGAGAAATTTAAAAGCACCTTATATTCCTGATAAATCCAAAATTACTGCTAATTTTGATAAGTTTGATGAATAAGATCCATGGTATTAGACAGCAGATAAAAAAGGAAGAGAGTAAAATCATTTTTAAGGGTATACATATAAAAGAACTCATGAAAATGAAGTTAGTCCTATTAAAAGAGCATTAGAAGAATTAGAGAATATTAAACCTTCAGGAATTAGAGCTAATTTTGATAAAAAGTAAAGATCTTAATCTCCTGTATACAATGCTTCTCCTCATTTAAATTAGGGATAGAGATCTCAATCCCCTTCAATAAAAGAATAATTGAAATAAACATATGTTTAATATTTTGGATAATATTTGTCTCCATTAAATAAACAGAAGAGACCTGAAACAGCTTAAATTAAATCACAAATAGCAAATAAAAAGAACTGATAGATTACACATATAAATATATTATATTAATTAAATAATGTTCCCATAAATAAAGCAAAATCCCTAAAAATAAGAAAAAGTTAAATCTGCCTTTAAATTGCCAAAATTAGAAGAATACTTCTAAAAGGCCAGATTATTGTAAGACTAAAACTAAAAAGCTTTAGAAGAAATGATATCCATCAAACGTTACTTGATGAGATTCAAGTCCTGATTGTAAATTTTATTTTTTTTTTTCTTTATATAATTTTAAAAATTTTATTTTCATCATTTTTACAAAAAACTTTTCTCATTCTTTGTTATATGTATTCCATAGACTTTTTCAATTATATTTATTTGATCCAATCAATTCAATAAAATAATAAATATATGTCATCTTAAATACAAAAAGTAATATATTTTATATGAAGTTCTAGTTTAAATTTAATAATTATAAAAATTTGAAATGTTTAACTTATAGAAATAATTTGAAATTGAAATAATAAATTGAATTATTCTATAGTCTTAATTCCTTCATTGATCTCATTGTTATATTTTATAGTTTTTGTGTATGTTATATTTAAATTTATATTAATTTATATTAAAATATATGTAAAATCAATAAAAAATAAGGGTGGCAGTTCGAATAAGACCTTTATTAGATCATGAAAAAAGGCAAGGTCATTTAAACTCAAGAATTGATTGCAATGGATAGGAAGTAATAATAAAAGAAGAGAGAAATAAAAAGAGTTATAAGTAAATTGTAAATCAAATAGATTCGATCATGTTTTACCTGAAACAGCTTCATAAGATTAGGTGTTTAAGAGTTGTGAAATTGATTAATTAGTGTAATCTGTAATTGAGGGGTATCATGTGACAGTTTTTGCATATGGTTAGACAGGATCTGGAAAAACATTTACAATGGAAGGTTTAAGAGATGATGAAGGAATTGCAATTAAGCCAGATGGCATAATCCCTAAAACAGTTCATAGTTTGTTTAATAAGATAAAATAGAATGCTCTATAAAAAGACTTTTCAGTCTATTGTTCATATTTGTAAATTTATAATGAAAAAATATATGATCTTTTGGGAGAAACAACTAAAACCAGTTATAATGTATAAGCTAATGGTTTGAAAATGAGATGGAATGTTAGGGATTAATTTGTAGTTGAAAATTTATTTGTTTATTAATGTAAATCAGCAGAAGAAGTTATTTAATTGTTCAAATTAGGAAGTAGAAATAGAATAACAGCAAGTCATAAATTGAATTTTTAATCATCTAGAAGTCATTCTATTTTTGAAATAAAAATAGAGAGTATAGATCTAAAAAATCCAGATTATTTTATTACATCAAAATTAGAATTAGTAGATTTGGCTGGATCAGAAAGAATAAGTATAACAGGTACTGAAGGTAGATAAGCTAAGGAGAGTATTGAGATAAATAAATCATTAATGACATTGAGATAAGTGATTGCTATTCTAAGTGATACAAATAATAAGACAATTCCTCCTTATAGAGATTCAAAATTAACTTGTTTATTAAAATAATCTATAGGAGGTAATTGTTTTTGTTTGATGATTGCTTGTATTGCACCTTTAGATACATTCTATGATGAAAATGTATCAACATTATAGTATGCTACAAAAGTATAAATTAAAAATTAACTTAGGCAGCTTATATTACAAATATTCCTGTAAAGAATGATGATCCTAAATTAAAAATAATAAATGATTTAAAATAATAAATAAATAGTTTAAAATTAGAATTAAGTAAGGCTAATGAACATATAGAATTCTTATCTAATATTGTTTAAAAGAAGGATAATAATTAGAATATGAATAATGTTTAAACTAGGAGTAATTTTGATAATATGAATAATGTTCAAACTAGAAGCAATTTTGATAATTTATTATAAAATTAATAGAAATTGTTAGAGGTAGAATCTTCAGATGAAGATGCTAATAAATTTGAATATACATAATTTAATGATAGATTAATTGATTCAATTAATATGGTTAGAGAATTATTATTATCTAATAAAGAAATGAGAGAAAGAGAGGAACAAATTAATTAGAAATGTGAATCTATGTATAGAGAAATTCAATTTTTACAGAAAGAGAATTTTGAATTAAGAGAAAGATTAGGAGATCCTGATTAATAAAGAGAATCTCCTTAAAAAAGGCCTTCAACTATTAAGAAGAATACAATGATGGTAGAGGAACCAGGATTTTTACCTGAATAGATGACTCAATTTTAAAGAAATTTTTAGAAAGATTTTAGAGATACTCCAAATAAAGATTATAAGGATTCATAAATGTAAATGACAAATCGAAGTATTTTGATTTATTTTTATAATAGATATAAGAGCTCATTCATAAAGAACATAAGGTAGATAATTAGCATTGATATCTAATTATTAATAAAATTTTGAAGAAGTTTAATAAGATGAAATGACTAATTTTGGCAGAAGAAGTTTATATTAGAAATAATTGAAATGAATTTATAATAAATGATTTTCTCTGTCTATTTTGTTAATTATATTTATTATTAATATAAATATGTCTTTAAAGGATTTTTAGATTTTATAAGAGTTAGGTAATAAATAAAAATATCAATTATAAGGTGAAGGAGCATATTCAAAAGTATATAAAATAAAAAGAATTGCAGATTAATAAGAATATGCACTAAAAAAGGTTAGACTACAATCATTGTCTGATAAAGAGAAATAGAATGCTCTAAATGAAGTCAGAATTTTAGCAAGTGTTAGACATGCAAATGTCATTCAATATAAAGAAGCGTTTTTAGAAGAATAGTAATAAATTTTATGGTAACTTTCTCAAAATAAATTTACTAGTATTATTATGGAATATGCAGATGATGGTGATTTATTCCAAAAAATAATAGAGAGTTAGAAAAAAGGAGTTCTGATGTCTGAAAAAGATATATGGAATATCCTCATTTAAGTATATTGAATAATTTATAATTATTTTAGATAGTAAAAGGACTTAAAGCTTTACATGATATGAAAATATATCATAGAGATTTAAAATCAGCAAATGTATTTATGAATAGTGATGGAACTGTTAAATTGGGAGATATGAATGTATCTAAAGTAGCCAAGAAAATATTACTATACACATAAACTGGAACACCTTATTATGCATCTCCAGAAGTATGGAAAGATTAACCTTATGATTCTAAATCAGATATTTGGTCTTTAGGTTGTGTTTTATATGAAATGACAACACTTAAACCACCTTTTAGAGCAGAAGATATGAGTGGTCTTTATAAAAAGGTTGTTAAAGGATACTATCCTAAAATACCAACTATATATAGTTAAGACTTAAGCAATGTTATAAGAGCATTATTATAAGTCTAACCACATCTTAGACCAAGTTGTGATAAGATTTTATAATTATAAGCTATTGTAAATAGATTGGATGATAAAATATTGGTAGAAGAAGAAGGTGCTAAATTTCTATTATAAACTATAAGAGTACCAAGAAATATGCATTATCTTACTGATAGATTACCTAAACCAAATTATAATCCTATAAGAATGACTAAAGTAGATAAATATTAATTTATTCAAACTTTGGCTGTATAAAAATAAAATTAAGAAAATGTTGAAGAAAATCATTCTTTGAATATTGATTTCTTACCAAGATTGAATAATAGAAGAATTGATGATAGTAATGAGAATTCAGTAATCTCTAAAAACAATAAGAAAGTAGATGATTCATAACTTGAAATGTATTAAAATAATTCAACTAAAAATAATTAAGTTGCTTCTATTTATAATCCTCCAGTAAAAAAAATTGCCAGGATATCTAATAAACAATCTAAAGTAGATCCTTTAAAATAACCTAAAAAATTAGATATTGAAGGAGAATCAAAACCTTTAATTATTAAAAGGTAAATTTTTTTATTTATTTACATATATATAGTAATAAACATGGAACTGAAGATAGAACACCATTATTACCACATTTACCTAGTATTAAAAAGGAACCACAAAAATTAGAAGAAGAATAATAACTTAAAAGAATTAAATAAACTGAAGAATTAATATAATAATTAAAAGAAAGATAATAAAAATAAAGAAGAAAGTAAAAATTAAGAAATCTTGATAATTGATAATAGAATATATGATTTATAATTCAAACTTTTTATACATCAGTAGCTTCTAGCATCTCACCATCTTTTTGATTAATTTTTAATGCATATCTAATTTCTGATCTACAAAGAAAACATTATTTGGTAGTTTTTATCATATTTTCAGAACAATTATTACAAATTCCTCCATGATTACATGGATGTAATACTACATCAGGTTCATTTTCAAAACAAATTAAACAAAAATCTCCTGAATCTTAATCTTTTGGTATTGATTTCATTTATTTCATCATTGTTTAACATGGCGATTGACGAAAATTAAGTGAATCAGGTCGTAATACATCACTGCAAATAGGTATTGAACTAGTATTACGAGTATTAGTATCTATTGTTGATTAACGAGTAAGCATTTTATAATAAGATGCTGAAATTCTTATGAACATTATAGGAATTTTTAATTTTCTCCATTTTTTCTAAGTAGTTTCTTATAATGGTCTTTTTGGTGTAATAGCTTATCTATGATCTAATTATAAAACAACACTAAATTAATAGAAATATATTACATAAGTTGTTTCTTAATTTTTAGAGTGAAGAAAATAAATAGAAAGAGATATATCAAAATACAAACTAATACAGCAATTGATGCTAATTAGATATTACTATATATAGTGTCACCTTCATAAAAATCACAAATAGTTTTTAATAGAAAGAATGGAATTATGGTTAATCCAATTATATAAAAAATAAACCAAAATATTATAGTTCCTTAATAATATTATGTTTTTACCATTTATTTGTGGTAGGTGTTTAAGGAAGCAATTCTCAACCATGGTTATCAATAATAATATAATCAAAAAGGTATTGATTCCAAGTGCTGTCCATGCTATTATGAATGTTTAATAATATGTGTAACCGAATAGGTTGTTCCATTTTAAAGTTAAGAGTAGGAGTTAAATCACATAAAGAACAGAATACGAATGTGCAATCTAATAATAAAAAACATATTACTATGACATGTTTTCTTTTGGATTAATCATGATGGAGTACCTAAAAAAGAAATAATCCAATAGTTATGAATAATTGAACTGCTGGTATATAGTAGAGTTTAATTTCTTTGACTTCAAAATGAATTACTATAGTAATCTATTATAATCTTTAAAAAAATTGATTTTACTTTAAACGATATGGTCAGGACTTTCTCCAAAAAATGAACTACAGATAATACTTTGCCTATATTTCTATCAAGCATAACTATAACAAAGGTTATCAAATCCATAAACCAAGCAAATATTATTATGTATTTAGAATCAAATAACCATATTAATTTGCAACTAAAGATTAACATGTAAAATTAGCAAGCACAATTAAAAATGCAAATTCTGATAACTTCATTTGAAAACTAAAGAATTAATCAATAACTTAACTTCTTTTTCAGTTTCTTAAGAATTAATTTACTCTTATTAACGATTCATAAGTGATTGATAATTTTTATCTTTTGATTATATATATAATCATTAAATTATCATTTAGAATGATAAAACAAATAGATATTTTAATTTGTTGGTAATTCATTACATTTCTTAACCATACAATTTATAAAAAAACAAAAATCATTATAAAAAAGCACTCTACTTAAGTTTTCTTAATGTAGCTCTTTATAATGGATCTATTTAGAAACACATTAAGAGCAATTCCTTTATTTCTATTGATGCTGTTTCAGGAATTCTAGGATATTCTCCACTTAATCCTATACTTAATAAACTTGTTGCTGGATTATCAAAATTAATTTATTCACTCCATGGAGGTCTACCTGTAATCATTTCAAGAATCAAACATCCAAAAGACCAAATATCTGAGGCTGGTCCAATTCTTTCTTATCTAACTACTTCAGGAGCCATCCATGGAACACTGCCTTATAAAATACTTTAATATAAATTTTCTTTATTTTGTCTACTACATCCAAAATCTGAAATTTTCACTTATCCATTACAATCTAATAATATATTGCTTGATTTTAGATCCAAATGTAATATTCCTTTTTTATGTAAATACTCTAAACCGTTGAGAATTTACTGAGTATATCTTTTCACAGTCTACTCATTTATTGGCCCAAAATCTCTTATTAATTAAGAAATAGATCCTAATATTTATAAGTTTAATATACCCATAGACATAAATTCTTAATAAATAAGGATGCTATCTTTTGTACTTTCATGAAAGATGTATTTTATGATATTCTTATGTTAAAGAATCTACAAAAAAGATAATTCGGTCTGATTAACATAGTACATCTTACATCTAATTTTTACTGATCTTTTTAGTGATTAAGTAATTTTTTACATGCCACAATCTCTCCTGTGTACATGTTCATAGCTTAATAAACTTGACCCTATGATCCAGAACCAATCAATTTTCCTAATTTAAATTCCATTCTCTTAATTGCAAAATCCTTTACTTAATTGAATCTATTTATTGGATCAAGTGTTATGTGATGATTTGTTTTTCTTGGAACTTTCAATAACCTATGTTTTTGATGCCTGTTTTAATAATAAAATTTAGAGTACATTTAAGTGCCAATTCTTATTGTATTATTTACAGACTTCATAATTGTCTTTATCTAACTAAACAATTATTTGTGAAATAATATAAACAATAATTATCTCAACAATAAATATCATAATTAGACACTTCAATATTTATTATTCTTCTAATAATATTAAAAAATAGAAATGCATTTCTTTCAATCAAACTTTATTTTGATACTATTTAAATTTTTTAAACGACTGAAAATTTATTGGTTAAAATAAAAAATAATATAAACATGCTTAAAAAATTGAAATAGTAAACTAAAGATGCTTATAATAAACATTTTGGCAAGGATCAATACAAAGAAATGAAAGATGAAGAATCTAATAAAAATTAAGATTTTACAAAATCACCACTTAGTCTTCCAAATTAATTCAAATCAGATGAATACAATAACAAGAGCGATTAATTTAATTGTATTTAAATCATACTTTATATAGAAAATCAAAATGTTGAAAAGAATTTATCTGAGGTTCCTTAATTAGATTTTAGTAAAGGTCTTATACCAGAAGAACTAATTTAACAAATCTAAGAATAAGAAATTCAATAGATAGCTGAAGAGTAGGCAAAAAAAAAATAAACTAAACCAAAATAAAATGACGATATTCCAGACTTTCTAAATAAAAAAATATGTTTAGATGAAAATGGTGATAACTATTATGAAGTGGCAGCCTAAAAGGCAAAAGAATAGAATAGTACTTTACATTAATTGAAAACCTTTGTATCAGAAAAAGCAAATAATGCATAAAAATAAGTGAAAGTAATTAATTATAACTCCATTTTTTAGAAATAATTAAAAAAACTAGACACACACATAAAAAATAAAATACTTGAAAAAAAATCACACATTAATCTCTGGATTGCAGGAAAGGTTGATACATAAATTATAAATTTAATGAGTAGTATCGAACCTAAAATAACTGATAGTGTATAGAAATCTGTTCCTTATGATTTTATGTAAAATTTTGTATAGGATACTGCAATTAATTTATGGAAAGATTTCACTGATGTAATTAGATTAGAATTAAGGGCTAAATTAGAAACAAATAAAATAGAAATTAAAAAGAGGGAATCAAAAGGATTAATTTCAAATATACGGAATTTTATACTTTATTCATTATATCCTGCAGACCTTACAAATCGTGATCATATGAGAAGAATTTCATTTAAAATTATGAAAATTTGCTAATTACTTCCATATATGGGTATTCAGCCACTTATGTTTTTTATCATTTTGCTTTGTATTAATAAAGTATTAATAGATTATAATTTTAGGATGAAGAATTTTAATTAGTCAATTATATAGCTGATTATAAATCTATTCAATTTATTACTAATGGATTATTTCCATGTTTTCTAGCTTACTTTCATTATTTATTCTTTGATTATGGACCTGGAAATCATCATTAAGTACAAGTGCTTATTTTTACTTTAATCATTTAAGTATTAACTGTTTGGATAGCATATTTATATTTATTAAAATCTTATTCTAGAGGAGCCTTTTTAAAAGATTAATTGACAATTACTTCTGATACTAAAGGAGGTAGATTAAAATATTTTCTAATTTATGATTTAATCTGTTTAACTATTTCTATAGTATTGTCAAGTAATAATTTATAATTATTTTATTAGTATTTTTATATATTTATAAAATAAAAGATAGTCATACTTAATCATTTGGAGATTTATTATTTTTTACAAGAACTGTTTATGCTTTATTAAGTATTCCATTTGTTTGTTTTATTTTTCCATTTTTTGTTAAGATGTTAACAAATGCAATTCCAACAGGATATGATAAATATGGAAATTGTATTCCATCATTAAGCACAATATAAATATCATATAAGGAAACTAAATTGAATAGATAAGGATTAATAGATATTGAAGAAATTTTAGAAAGAGATTTATTAGATAAAAATGAAAATGATGATAAATAATAAGAAGAATAAAATAATGATAATAATAAATCAATTTAAAAAAAAGAGAATAAAAATTAAAATGATTAAGAAGATAAAAATAATAAAACAAAAAAATAGAATAAAGAGATGTAAAACATAGTAGAATGATAATTTGTAAAAATTATATATAATTAACATAACACTTTTATAATTTAATTTTATATTATTAATAATTGTTTTTGATTAAAACAAAATCATTATCTAAAAATACCACCTTTCTTTAATGCATTTTCTGCATCTTTAATTGCTAATAACTCATTATTATATTGTTGCAATAAATTATTATGGGTTGAAGTTCTAAAATATAAAGATTTATATTATACCTTTCAATCCATCTATTTTAAGTTGCAACAAGATTATCCTAAGCATCAGCTAAATTACTTTATGCATCTTACAATATAGAACTTAATGCTCTAATTTCAGATTGTTTAATTGAAATTTCAGTTCCTAATAATGGAATTAAAACATCTTGAATTCCACTAACTTTTGCTTGAGTTTCAGATAATATATCTTATTATAATTTAGATTATGATTCATGTTGATTTTACAATGATGTTTATGCATCAATAAGATTTTATCTAAGTTAATTCATAAAATTAATGACTTTATTTAGATTCTCTTAATCTACATAATTATTTTATGATAATTATGTTAAAACATTTACTAAAGGTTAATAGAATACTCTTTTTGATGATAATTTCTTCATACTATATATATTATATATAATTTGATACCTTTTATGCATATTTTAAGAGACTTCTTTAATATGTTCTTTTTTTTAGATTAATGAAGCTTCATCTTTGATTTCATTAAGTAATGCAATTGCTTAATCTAAAACATTAATTGTATCAGCATATTCTTAATTTTGTTATTCAAATACTGTATTATCTGAGTTAATTTATTATTCTTTTTAGGCCAATAATTTAATTGCATCATTTAAATCTTAATTAGCTTCAATTAAAAATGTTTATAAACGTGTTCCTTCATCACCTAATTCTTTAATTTCAATTTCCAATTATGCTATCTATATTATATTGATGAATATAAACTTTGTTCTTAAAATCATTAATTTAATTTTCATAGAATTAGACATCTGATAAATATGATTACTAATCTTATTCATAAGAACTATTCTCATCATTTATTCTTGTTTAAAAAGATTCTGCTAATTCATCTAGAGCAACAAATAATTATTGGAAATTAAAATCCTTTGTTTATACTTCTGATAATCCAAGTATGATTTTTGATATTGGATGCAATTTATCTTACTAAATAGATGAGATTTCTTGACTATAATATTGTATATATAATATACTTTGCCAATATCAAATACAACAATGTAAACCAAATAAAAGTTTTCATTAAATATTAATTATTTACAAATCCGTTTTTATTAAACATCTTTCTTGATTTATACTATTATATTATAAAATACTTTTATATAATGATGATGATTTTAAATCAATAATATATAAATATATAAGAAAAGCAACACAAATTATTAATAAATAATTAAAATCAATTTTTATAATTTTTGTTTTAACTTTTAGCATTTCTTGTTCCTCTTAATTATTCTAAAATATGACTATCTATAGTGTAATTTAACATTTTATGACCTTAAGATATGTCTTACTTTTTTAATTTACTATTGGAATCTCTATTTTTAGGTCTTATAAGGAGAGAACAATAAAATTAATATATACCTTGATTTTGGTATTATGTGAAATTAATTTAAATTTCCATCTTATTCATCATAATCTGTTTTAATTCTAATATTTTCTATATTTCTTTTATCACTAGCATATGTATTATTGTTAATGTAATAATTGTTCCCTTATACAGTTCTTTTATAGAATGCATCACTAAGTTAATCAAATTTTAATTACTTTATATTATTATTTAACTACTTTTATTGTACAATTTTCAATATTTGTTGAATATGTTTAGATTAATTCTTCTTTTCAGATGATAATGTTGGTGTAGCTCTAAAGCCTAGATTAGAATTTTATTTATTTGTCACACTTTCACGTCCTTGACTTATAACTGTTTAATCAATCTATTTAGTTAAAGAAGAGTTGGATAGATTTTGACAATGAACTTTCTATAATCTTGATATTTATTATGAGATCAACCTTGAAGATTTAGTATTTGAGATTGGTTTTTGAATGGAAAGGTTATCATCTTCAATTTAATCTGTTAATTTGATTAATCTTTCATTAAGTAATTTGATGAATTATGGTTAAGTTGCATCTGTTAGATGTTATATATTATTTTAGTTTAACTCATAAAGAGTTACATCTTTAAGAGATGAAAGAGAATTATCTGATGAAGATTGATAATCTTCTTTTGGAAACTTGAATAAGTGATTGATTTTACATTTCTTAAATCTAGATATATGTTTATGTATTATAGAATACTTGATTTCAATTTCTTATTTAAAATCATCAACCTCTGAATTTTCATCAGGTTAAGTTTTAGTTAACATTTAAATAGGTGCAGAAGGTTTTGTTATCTTTTATAAAATATGATATTTCATTAGATCTTTATCAAAATTTTATGGTTTCTAAATATTAGGACTCTTAGATTTTGTATTTCTGTTGGACATAATAAAATATAAATTAGTATATAAATTAAATATACATATAATATTCAAACTAAAGCGAATCTACGAGTAAATTATTTTTACTTTTATTAACTTATCAACCATTATTATACTGTACTCAAAAGAGAGATCAATTTAGTTAGATATTTATTGATTTTATTAATTTCAAATCTGTCATACAATCCTGAGAGTAGATTAACATTATTAAAAGCATTTTTATCACTGGCCAAGTAAAGATATTAATACATTTCTAATTTTCTATTTGGACTCATATGACTTAATAAAACTCTATCCTTTATAGCTCCTATATTGAGATGAGGATTAGATATAATTAATTTTGACATATTAAATTCTCCACCTATTTCTAAAATTTATGAATTATATTTAGGTTTCTTTTATCTAATATTTGTATTAGCTTCTTCTTTAACTGATTTAAGATCAGGAATCTTTCTTTGAAAA